CCCCCCCGTGTTTCGAGGCAGACAGTAACCTTGCCTGTCCTCGAAATCACTCTGTAGACCAGACTGGCCTTGAACTCAGAGGTTCACCTGCCTCTACCTCCCAAGTGTTAGGATTAAAGGTGTGCGCCACCACTGCCTGGTTTTTTTTGTTTTTGTTTTTGTTTTTTTTTTTTTTTTTTTTTTTGAGACAGTCTCATTGTGTAGTCCTGGCTGGCCTAGAACTCACTTTCATGGGCTTGAAGGCAGAGGCAGGCATGCTGAGCTTTGAAGGGTTTTGATATCATTTCAGGGAATGAACTCTACACATCCCTTTCCTGTTAAACTTTGGCTAGGCACAGTGGTGTTAATATAGTTTGACTGGGAAGTGTTGGCAAAGTTTTCAGGTTCCTTTTAATATTTGGGGTAATCAGAGAAAAATCTTGAGTGAGAAGGTCCTTCTTCCTGACTTCCAATGTTTTTTTGTCTTTATTTTTTTGAGATAAGAGTTTCTCTATGTAGTCTTAGCTATCTTGGAACTTACTCTGTAGACCAGGCTGGCCTCAAACTCTTAGAGATCCACCTGCCTCCTCTCCAAAGTGCTGGGATTAAAGGCATGCACCACTCACCACTGCTGCCTGCTCTTCAGTGGTATTTAAGACTAATGGATGCCTGTATTTATTGATGCTGTGCTGTTGGTCAGGCCATTCTCTCCATCTAGGAATCTTCCTGGTCTCTAACCCCTTGTTTTTTCTCCTTTGTCCCACTTCTCTGCTGTTTCTCTCTTCAGCCATTGTGGATGCTGATGGAAGAATTTACATTAGGAACTGGCAGGGTGGCATCTTGTCTGGAGGCTTTGAGAAGAACCCCAAACCTATTTTCACTGAAGGCAAGAACCAGTTGGAAATTCAGAACCTTCGTGAAGATTGGGATCACTTTGGTATGTAAAGTAAATTATAACAACAATGCCTTTTACTTCTCTAAGATGTTACGTTTTTCAAGGTATTTTCATGAATCGTTTTTTATGTGTCTTTAAGACAGCTCCAGAGGGTACAGTAGTAATCATGAGTTCACTTGAACTAAGGCTGTGGCTACTGGTCAGATGCATGGAGGCAGGGTCCACAGGCTTGCTTAATGAACTTGACTTATCATTTATTTATTTAAATCACTGCTGAACCTTTAGACTAGAAGGGGGACTTTCTGTTAGTAAGACTTAATGAAATTGAAGAGGTTTCTACAAAGCCGGGCATGGTGTGATGTAGTCCTGCTTGTAATGCCAGCATGTCGTAGGCTGAGGCAGGAGAATTGTAAAAGTAGATTATTTTGCTAATATGGTCTTTATTAAGGTTTTAAATAATTTTGTCTTTTTTGACTAATTATTGTAGTTACGTGGTTATAAATTGAAAGAGTATGAAAAGATCTAATTTTTCTTCCATCCTTGGTGGGATTTTAAAAGAACAAACTGCTGCTTATGGGAAACTAAACTCTTGTGCCCATCAACCAGTTAATCCTGTTTCCATCTGTCACTGCTGTCCCATGGGACGTGGCCAGAGAGAGTATAGAACAAAGTGCAAACCTGTTGCTATATCCATCTCAGTGTAGGAAACACTGTCTTTCATGGAAACGTTAGGTGGTGTCTTAAGACATTTCACACACACCTTGACCCCTGTAAGATTACTGCTTGTCGCCTTCTGTGTTCCTTTTGTTGTGTGGCTCCTTGCCTTTGTAAAGTATGATTTTTCTTACTCTGAATGCCAGGCATTTTGTAGGTGTATTCTGTAATTCTACCAATTTTCATCTTTCTGATAACCAAATGACTCTTAGAAAAGTCTCCTCTAAAGAATTTTTTGGAAGGAGGAGTAAAAAGTATAAGTACTTGAAAAAGTTTAATTCCCTAAAGGTGAGGACTCTGTTTGGGTTTGTTTTGATTGCTCAGAGCCCCTGTTGAGTTCCCTCCTGCGTAGGATGCCAGGATTGGAGACTCTGGAGATTTTGAAGTTGGTGAATTGCCCTGAGACCTTCACACCAGACATGAAGTGCATCATGGGCGAGTCTCCTGTAGTACAGGGCTACTTTGTCCTGGCAGGGATGAACTCTGCTGGCCTGTCGTTGGGTGGAGGAGCTGGAAAGTAAGTGTTTTTTACGTAGAGTCACCTGTGGACACTTGAGCTTGCTAGGTTCTTCATTGTTAGTATGTTCTGTGACCAGCTAGTAATGTAAATAACAGTATGCATCTTCAAGGTAATTACTTTATTCATAGTCCATAAGTGTTACTGACTATAATATTTTTGGAACTCAGTCATTTAGTTAGCCACAACCTGTGGAAAAAAATTCTTTTAATCCCAGCTGGGGAAGCAGAGGCAGGTAGATCTCTGTACATTTGAGGCCAGCCAAGACTACATAGTAAGACTATGTTTTGAAAATTAAAAAAAGCCAGTCACAGAAGGATACAAATACTGTACAATTCCATTTATGTGAGGTACTTAGGGTAGTCATAGAAACAGAAAAATAGTGGTTGCTGGGGAAGAGAAAATGTGAAGTTATGTTAGATAGGTCTGCTGTCTCAGTTCTGCAGGACGGATGAGCTCCTACGTGGACTGTGAGAGGCTACACAGCAGGGCGTGTGTGTGTGTGTGTGAGTCCACCGTACCACACTGGGCAATAGCTCGTCAGCTGTGTGCATACAGTTCCAGCTCTTGGGAGGTGAAGGGCAGGAGGACCCTTGTCATCAGCATAGGACACTTTATTCTCAGGTTAAAAGAAAGTTGATTATCTGGATATGGTGGCTGTGTAATCCTAGCATTTAGGGGACTGATGGAGGAGGACTGCAGTGAGTATAAGGCCAGCCTGGACTACATAGTGATTTCTGTTGAGCCTGAGTTAAGTGAGAAAGTGGGACCCGACATGGTAGCATACGCCTTTATCTCAGCATTCAGAAGTCAGAGGCAAGTGGATCTCTGTGAGTTTGAGGCCAGCCTGGTCTACAAATTGGGTTCCAGAGCAGCCAGGGCTGTTAAACAGAGAATCTCTGTCTAGAGAAACAAAAAACCCCAACAAATCCACCCCCCACCCTAACCCCCAAAAAAACTAATTTGAAATTTTTATATGTTAAAATATATTTGTATATATATTTTGCTAATAAGTAGTACTTATTTATATGTATTTGATACATTCTGGTATACCTTTTTGTAAGGGGTTGGGATTCAAGAGAGAGTTTCTTCATGTAGCCCTGGCCGGGCTACATGAAACTTAACTATGTGGACTGGGCTGTCCACAGACTAGGAGGTGCACTTGCCTCTGCCTCCTGGATGCTGGGACAAAAGGTGCATACTACCACCGCCTAGCTCCTTTTTTCTTTTTTAATAATTTATTTATTTTTACTTCATGTGCATTGTTTTTTTGGGATTTTTTTGCCTGGATATTTGTCTGTGTGAGGGTGTCATATCACTTGGCACTGGATTGCAGGCAGTTTTACGTTGCCATGTGGTTGCAGGGAATTGGAACTCAGGTCCTGTGGAAGAGCAACCAGTGCTCTTAACCACCGAGCCATCTCTCCAGCCCCTCTGTTTTTCTCTTTTAAAAAATGTTTTTATTTTAAACTATGTATATGTAAATATATGCACATGAGGGCAGTTGCCTGAGGTGGTCAAGTGTTGTTGAATCCGCAAGAGTTCCAGGACAGCCAGGGCTTATATATAGAGACCCTATCCAAAAAAAATCCTCACTGTGTGTCTATGAGAATCGCACTTGGATCCATGTTTGTTTATTTTAGAAGATGTGAGGGAATTGTATAGACTTGCTCAGCTTCTGTGACAGCACAGACTCGTGGTTCCATTGGTTCTTGAGTGTATATGATTTGAATTGTTCTCTCTGTCCCAGCTGAGGTCCACAGCTTTCTGTCTGCATCTAAACAGGTTCCTAGCTGAATGGATGGTATATGGCTATCCCTCTGAAAATGTCTGGGAACTGGACTTGCAGCGCTTTGGAGCCCTCCAGAGCAGCCGCACCTTTCTGCGCCACCGGGTCATGGAAGTTATGCGTAAGTGTTCTTTTATTCTAATTTTATTGGGCTCTGCAGTCTTTAAGTGGCTGGATGTATCAGTCAGGACTTTCCCTTACGTCTCTAATAACTGTTTAGAATTGGGTTTCTCATCTGTGGCTATTTCAGGCCAGAGGATGGGGATTCAGGTGCCACCTGACACTCAGGAGCATTTTTTGGCATATTGGACCGTGCTAGGAATAGGAAGGGAGACTAGGCCTTCCTGTGTGCTGCTCGTAGTGTGTGTGCTGCTCGCAGTGCAACCTTCTCAGTTGGCCTTGACACCACCTCAGCCTCCCACCCAGGTTCTGAGAGCATTGGGGAGTTTTGTCACTATTTTGAGATGAAGTCTCATAGAATCCAGGCTGTCTTTCTATATACCTTCAACTCCTGAATTCCTGCCTCTATCTCCTAAATGCTGGGATTACAGGTGTATGCCACCAGTCCTTGGCTTCTCTCTCTCTTTCCCTCTCTCCTTCCCTCCCCCTCCTCTTCCTCCTCCTCCCTTTCTTTCTCTCTCCTTCCCTCTGGCCCTCTCGCTCTCCCTCCTTCTCCCCCCCCCCCCCCAATCTGTTCTGTAGTTGTGTGTCTGGTATGAGGTATGGGTATACATATCACAGCTCAGGGCAGATGTGACTCAGAGGATAGTTCTGTAGAGCTGGCCTCTCCTACCTTTACATAGATGTCTAGGGACTGAACTCGGGTCCTCGGGAAGAGTGGTTAGTGCGGTTATACTAAGCCATCTCTCCAGCTCCAAAAATAAAATCTTAAAAAAGAGACAGAGATTAATTGGGATTTTAGCTTTGTTATGTGAATAACGTCACCTTTCAGATTTCTGAACCACCAAATGAAGGTGTGTCATAAACCCTTTCTCTTGAAAAGAGGCTACATATTAAAGGTGAAGTCTGTAAGCCATGAGGAGCCCTGAGGCACAAGTAAAGAATCGAGTGCCTTTTTAAAAAACAAAACACAACAAAACAAAACAAACAGCAACAACAACAACACATTTTTGTAGTTCTAGCTAGCCTGACCTCTAACCTGCTTTTTTCCCCCAAAGTAGCTTTTCACTATATTCCTAGCTGGCCTGGAATTCACAGAGATCTCTCTGCCTCTGCTTCTTGGGTGCTGAGATGAACATACCTGTCCTTGAACACACTTAAAAAAAAAAAAAACAAAATTTCCTGTGTCCCCTTTAGATACAGCCTTCATCAAGCTAGGTGCACACCTGTAATCCCAGCACTTGGGAGGGGGGCCAGAGGCTGGTGGATCTCTGTGATTTTGAGGTCAGCCTGGTCTACTGAGTGAGTTCAAGGATAGCCAGGGCTACATGGAGAAACCCTGTCTCAAAATCCCACCTTCCCCCACCTCCGCAAAAAGATAGAGCCTTCATCTATGCTTTGGAGTTTTGCAAGATTTAGACCCATGACTTTTCTCCCATTGTTTCTGCCTACTAATTTGGAACTAAAAATGTAAACAGGTGTACATTACTTCCTAGTGTTTGTTAGCAAGATAGTACCAGTATTATACATCTTTCTTCCTTCTGAACCAGACATGTTCCATTGGGTGACATCTGACACTCGAGCTATGTTCCCCTGGAAATTATTCTCTTTTGAGTTGGAATAATCCAGGCTCTTAGAGAATTGGTTGCTCAGTTCTCAGTTCAGTCTGTGACTTTAGACTTTGATAGACTATCATGAACACCACTTTAATTACATAATTAATTTGAAGACAGTTTCTCTGTAGTCCTCTCTGTTCTGGAACGTGTTCCTTAGACCAGGCTGACCTTGAACTCAGAGATCCACCTGCACCTACTGGGATTAAAGGTGTGTGCATTACTGTTGCTTGACTTTAAATTTTTTTAAAAAATTTATTTAAAAATTTTATGTGTGTGCATATTTTGCTTTTGTATATGCCTGTGTACCACTTTTATGCCTGATACCTAGGCCAGAAGAGGACATCAGATCCCCTGGAACTGGAGTTAAAGGACAATTGTGAGCCACCATGTGGGTGCTAGAAAATGAACCCAGATCCTCTGGAAGAGCAGCCAGTGCCTGTCCCTGCAGAGATGTTGTTCTTACCCCCATCCCCCTTTTTTTTTATGGTAGTGGGGACTGAACCCCAGAGCCTCGTGCATGCTAAGCAAGTATCTCTGCCTCAGTGTTTTGCTTTGTTTTGGATTTTTACTCTGCGATGGAGACTTGCTGAGTTGCAGTCCTGTGTCCTCTGACTCACTGTGAGGGGACGCCGTGACCAAGGCAGCTTATAGAGGAGTCATTTAACCGGGGGCTGGTGCATCGCTCAGAGACTGAGTCTGACCATTCTAGTGGGGAGCCTGGCAGCAGGCAGGCAAGACTGGTACTAGAACAGTAGCTGATTTTTATGTGTAAGTTGGAGGCAGAGAGGTAAGCACTGGACCTGATGTGGGCTTTTGAAACTTCAGAGTCCACCCCGCAGTGACATACCTTCTCTAACAAGGCCACACCTCCTAATCCTTCCCCAAAGAGCTCCACCAGCTGGGAACCCAACTTTCAAATTTATGAGTCTCTGGGAGCCATTCTAATTCATGTCACCGCAAGTTGCCCTGGCTTGGCTTGGCTGAAACCTGGTTGGTAGCCCAGGTACACCTTGAATTTGAAGTCCTTCTACTTCAGCCACCCAGATCTCTGGAATTGTAAGCCTGTGCTTCCAGGTCCAGCTGACAGACTGTTTATCTGTTCTAGCTCTGATATACGACCTGAAGGTTCCCCGTTGGGATTTCCAGACTGGAAGGCAGTTACGTACATCTCCTCTTTATGACCGGCTGGATGCTCAAGGAGCCAGGTGGATGGAGAAACATGGGTTTGAGAGGCCAAAGTACTTTGTTCCACCCAACAAGGGTAAGAGTGAATCTGTCAGTCTGTCTGTCTGTCTTTTTGAGACAGAATCTCACATTTTAGCCTAGAACTTACTTTATATTTCAGGTCGGCTTTGAATCCTCATCAGTCCTCTTAATTTCAGCATCTCAAGTGCTGGGATTATAGGCAGAAACCACCACACTTGGCTGTGTGTATGTGTGTGTGTGTGTGTGTGTGCATTATATGCATGTGTGTCTGTGTATATATGCACCCTCATATAGACCAGACATTTATGTTGAGTGTTTTTTCTGTTGTTCTCCACCTTACTTTTTCAGACAGATTTTTTTCACTGAATCTGGAGTTCACTGATTGGCTAAACTGCTGGCCAACAAGCCACAGGATCCTCTTGTCTTTGCCTATCACTGCTGTGACTGCAGGGTTCACTGTTGGACCTGGCTTTATATATGCATGCTGGGGAGCATGTTTGCCTAGCAAGTACTTCAACTACTGAGACAACTGCTCCTGCCCCATCTTAAAACTTACTTATAAGTGCCTGTGGCTAGAATATATTCCTGAAGGAAAAAGAGTCTGTAAATATATGGGGACTTCTCAGTGTCAAGACTCTTTTCTTTCCACCTTGTTTCTGTTTCCTAGACCTTCTTGCATTAGAACAGAGCAAGACTTTCTACAAGCCAGACTGGTTTGAGATTGTGGAGTCCGAAGTCAAATGCTGTAAGGAAGCTGTGTGTGTCATTGACATGTCCTCTTTCACCAAGTTTGAGATCACTGTAAGTATTAAAGTTTGAGGAAACATTTTCTACTTATTCAGTGTTTGTTTTTCTTTTCTTTCTTTCATGTATTTTTCATGTTATTTTTAAATTTTATATGTATAGTTATTTTGCTTCAGTGTATGCCTGTGTACCGTGTGCATGCAGTACCCAAGAAAGCCAGAAGGCGGCTTTGGATTCCCCTGGGATTGGAGTTATAAATGCCTATGCGCTGCCATGTGGGTGTTGGGGAATTGACGCAGGTCCTTTGGAAAAACAGCCAGTGCTCTTAACCAATGGGCCACCTCTCCAGCCTCCAAATGGCTGTTTTGGTCTAGTTGGCCTTTTCTTTTCTTTCCTTTTCTTTTTTCTTTCCTTCCTCCCCTCCCCTCCCTCCCTCCCTCTCTTCCTTCCTTCCTTCCTTACTTTTTTTTCTTTCCTTTCTTCCTTTCTCTTCTTTTTCTTTTTCTGAGACAAGGTTTTTCTATGTAGCCCTTGCTATCCTGGAACTCACTTTATAGACCAGGCTGGCCTCCAATTCTGCCTGCCTCTGTCTCCTAAGTGCTGGGATTAAAGGTGAGCACCACCAGCCCAGCAAAGATTTGTTCGTGTATATGAATGTTTTGTCTGCGTATGTATCTGCATACCAGAAGAAGGCATTGAATCTCATGGGGCTCTAGTTACAGGTAGCTGTGAGCCACCCTGTGGTTGCTAGGATTGAACTATCTCTAGCCAGTTTTGACCACTGAGCTACCTCTCCAGCTCTCAAATACCTGTTTTTCATCTGATACTTCAAAACTGATTCTGGAAGAACTCTACACTATTTTAGTGTTTCATCTGTATAATGTTTCTGAAATTTAGCTCCTATAACAGTTTTTAATTAACCTAGAAAGACCCATTCATCTTAAGTACTGATGGTTAGCTTTCCTTGTGGCTTCTTACAGGAAAGTAAACCTGCAGCTGGTGTCACGTAGGTATTGTATCATTGAGTTTCCTCAGTCAGGGGCAGTGCTGCATGGTTTCATGGTCAGGTGCTCCTGTGTTTACTGTCCCTGCCCTACCCTTTCCTTGCAGTCCACTGGGGATCAGGCATTAGAAAGTCTGCAGTACCTTTTCTCCAATGACCTAGATGTGCCCGTCGGCCACATTGTTCACACTGGCATGCTCAATGACTATGGAGGGTATGAAAACGACTGCAGCATTGCACGCCTGACCAAACGCAGGTGAGTTGAGGTGCCACGCCCGTCTTCCACTAACTGATACTTGAAGGGCTCTGGACGTAGAGAACGTAATACTAGGAGGCCACTGTCCTAAGGACCCAGAAACTACATAAACTCCTGTCTAAAGCACTCGTCACCTGTAAACAAATCAGCAAAGGCAGACAGAGCAGAAACCCCGGGGTGTGTGTGTGTGTGTGTGGTGTCTCCCGCCTACAATGTCAGGAGTGTGGAGGGTTGTCACAAGTTTGGGGCCAATCTGGGCTACGTGAGGAGTTCCAGGCCAGCTTGGCCTATAAAGTGAGACTCACTGTTTAAAAACATAAGAACAAAAGAAGTTGTACTATGTAAAACTGGGTGTAGTCACCCTAATGGGAAAGGATTCTTTACGAATGTTACTAAATCTGTAAATTTGCTGTTACTGGTATAGAACCTAGAATGGTGAAATACCCTCCTTGAAAGTCAAGAGATTGTTTCTAAGTTCTCGATTTTTTTTCTGCCTTTTGGTTTTGATTACTTTGGGGTTTTCATTTTCAGTTTCTTCATGATTTCTCCAACTGATCAGCAGGTCCGCTGTTGGGCCTGGCTTAACAAGTACTTGCCGAAAGACAGCAACTTGCTGCTGGAGGATGTCACCTGGAAATACACAGGTAATCGATCAGCCTTTTCAGGGCAGATAAAGAAGCAGATGCAGATTATCTTCTGCTTTGCGTGCCTCATTTATATCAAGTGAGCATCAGAATTAGTGTTAAAGAGACATGCTGGAGAGATGGCTCAGCAGTTAAGAGCACTGACTGCTCTTCCAGAGGTTCTGAGTTCAACTCCCAGCAACCACATAGTGGCTCACAATCATCTGTAATGATCGGATGCCCTCTTCTGGTGTGTGTGAAGAGAGTGACAGTGTGCTCACATAAAATAAACAAATCTTAAAAAAAAAAAAAAAATTCCAGGCCTGGAATGATAGTTCAGCCATTAGGAACGTGACATTCTGCTCCTGTAGAAGACCAGGTTTCTGTTTTCATCACCAGAGGGCAACTCACAAATGTCTGTAACTCCACTTCTAGGAGATTCAGTGCCTTCTTTTGGCTTCCATTTGTATCTGCATACATCCATAAAGACAAAACACCCCTATATATAAAATAAAAATAAAAACATCTTTGGGGCTGGGGAGATATGGCTCAGTTAAGAGAGCTGCCTGTTCTTCAGAGCACGCTGGTTCACTTACTACCATCCACAGGGCAGCTCACTTCCATGGGTGCTACGTACATGTGGGGCACAGATGTAAGTAAAACATCCATGAGCATGAAAAAAAATCAGCAAATCTTTAACCCTTAGCTATGTGTAATGATGCTTGTCTTTAATCACAACACCGGAAGGCAGAAGTAGGTAGATCTTCGTGAATCTGGTCTACATGATAAGTTCTAGGACAGCCAGAGCTGTTTCACAAAAACAAACTGTATACCCCTTAAAAAAAATTATAGGAAAATAAGACACTGTGAACACAGATAATTGATTATTCAGTTTATTCAGTTCCATCCCTGGAAACCACATAGTGAAGGAGAAACGTGACTGGCATTCATCTTACTGGCCCTTTCACCTCACCTAGGCCTTCATTCTCATAGCAGCAGTTATGATTTAACTTCTTGACGCTAGCATGGCAAGGTATAGAATATCACTGAACACTGGTTGCGTTCTAGCCTGTACTAGAGCAGTTATGTGTAAAATTCTGCCATAGGCAGCAGAGTAGCATAGGGTGGAGAGACAGTTCTCCAGATCCTGTTTTGGGATAGGGATTGTTTCCATCATGTAGGAAGAGAAAGAGAACTATAGTGCTTGGTATATGGCCAGCCCTGGAAGTGACCTCTTGGTCTTGTGACCCTAATCTCGCTGCAGAGGAGACTATAAAATACATCCTTCTGGTGAACTTTCGAGAAGAACCACACTAGCCAGGCTCTTCACACCAGTCAGTCAGCAGCTGCATTCAGCAGGTCTGTCAGTGGATTGTGGGCCAGAGTCCAGGTACTTACCATTGAACCTCGGGTCCCTAAATAAAGGGACAGTTTTTATAAGATTCACCAGCTGTAGACCAGGTCCTAAGTGGATACAGTGGTTAATTTAAATGCCAAGTAGACAAAAAATCTAGACTCACCTGGGGGATAAATGTACTTGCCTGTGGGAAATTACCATATCAGTTGTGGGAGAAAGACCCACTCACTGGGTGGCACCCTTCCTGAGGTGGCTCCTGAACTATAAAGGGAGTTAAGCAGGCATGCCTTTGCCAGTGCCCAGTTGTGGATGTCAGGTGACCAACGGCTGCACACTTCTGAGGCCTTGACTACCCCACTTTGATGGACTGACCCTGAGCTGTAAACTAGAGAACTATTCTTTACGTTGCTCTTATCAGTGTATTTATGACAGTAGTAGGTAAAGAGAGACAAGGACAGTGGACAAGTTCAGAAGAGACAAACTGTTCTCTGGAGAGGCTGGACATCTCTTGTTCTTTACCCTGTAGCCCTCAATCTGATTGGCCCTCGAGCTGTGGATGTGTTATCTGAGTTGTCCTATGCCCCTATGACTCCAGACCACTTTCCAACTCTGTTTTGCAAGGTAGGTACTAGTCATTTATTGTTTGTGATCAGGGTCTCATGTAGTGCGTGCAGATCTCAGACTTGTTATGTAGCTGGGAATGACCTTACACTTCTGATCTTCCTGCTCAAGTGCTGTGAATGCAGGTCTATGTGTAATTGGTGTATATGGTATACCAGTATATATATGGTATATGGTATGAGAATCAGACCATGGCTCCATGCATGCTAGGCCGGCACTCTGCCAACTGAGCCACATTCCTAGCAGCTCTTTAACGATGTTTCTTTTATAGTGATGGCAGGTTCATATTCGTAATATGGTGTCAATACTTAAACAGTGTTTGACCTTTAATAAGCAAGCAAAATGACCAAGCAAATGTTATTTTTTTACTTTCAAGCCTGCTTTATTTAATAATGATTAGGGTATTCCCTGAAGTATATTTAATGTCTTTGAATGTCAGGTATGTGTATTTATTGGTTTCTGTAGCCCCTGAATTAAACTTAAGGTAACAGTAAATGCACACTGAGGTCAGATTTTTTTCTCCTTACATTTGCTGTTTTTGTGTTTATACACATAGTATTGTACTTGAGCCATCTTCAGGGAAGAAATGGTCTAGCTGAACCCTAAACAACAAACAACTAGCTGCCTGGCACACGCTACAACTGAGTAACTGAGTGCTTTGCAGGAAGCAGTCATGTAGCCACTCTGGACATGCACCATGCATGGAGGAACTTGGAAGTTCAAACCTGAATTGAGATTTCAGAGCAAATTGTTTAATAATTTCCTCTGTTCTGCTAAGGAGAGAAAAACCACAGAAAACTTTGATGTTAGTGAACAGATCCTTCTACCTCTTCTCTGTACTTTAAACAATGATCCAACCCATACACCTGTAATTTGCGAGTGCCTTACTTATCTTGTCAGAATTCATGTGGAGTATCTTGTTTCCTTGCCGTCTCAGACTTAGGTTTCCCTTTAGAGAGTGAGCAGTAGTTGTATCAGTGACCCTTTCAAGGCAGCTGTGCAGCTGTAACATTAGAAACTGAGTCTGGTCCCAGAGTACATGGATTCTATTCTGTGGGCATTGTCCTTCATGTGTCAGATGCCTGAAGTTGGCTTACAGTGTCCCCCAGAGAAGACACTCGAGTGGTCTTCATTGTTCCTAATGCTGCTGCCTGGTGAACTTAACTGTGTGAGCATGTTGAGAGTTGGTAAAGTGAGGGTAGGTACTGACAGGGTTCCCCTCGGGGATTCAGTCTCCTGACTCATGAGGGGCTGTGCTGACTGCTTGCTTTTTCTCTGCAGGAGATGAGTGTGGGCTATGCCAATGGGATCCGGGTGATGAGTATGACTCACACAGGAGAGCCAGGATTCATGCTGTATATCCCCATAGAGGTGAGAGGGCTCTGGGCAGGGCTACCAGTTCCCAAGATTCCTGAGTACCAACAGGTTTAGAATGGTGTATCTCATCCAGTCTTGGCAGGCTGCAGGGAAGAGGTTTTATCATTTTTAATAATTAATGTTGAAGTGATACATGCATTTTAAAATAAAAATTTGAGGGAAGGAGCACAGAATACCGGGTTCTGTCTCAGCACCCACATGGGCAGCTCACAACCATCTGTATCTCTAGTTCTGGGAGATACACTGCCCACTTCTGACCTCCAAGGGCACTGGGCACATACAAGGTACACATACATACATTCAGGCAGTACACTCACATATATGGAATAGAAATGTTTAAACATCTTAAAAAGTAAAAACTTAATTGGGGATGTAGCTCATGTAGCATACTGTTTTTCTAGCATGTCAGCCAGTCCTCAGTTTGGTCCTTAGCACTGTATCAACTGGGCACGGTAACACCTGCCCATATCCTAGCACCGAGAGAACAGAAGCAGGAGTCTCAGTCTAGTCTGGGATACAGGAGACTCTAGGAATGTGAAAAACCAACACAGTGGGATCCAGATGGCTCAGTTGTTAAAGTCTAGGCTCATAACCAAAAAGTCAAATACCAACGTATTTTAAACCTTATAAAATCAGTTATGTATATAAAAACTGATCATCACCTTCATAACTAGTTGCCATCAACCAACAACCACCTGATGTTGTAGCATTATCTTACTAATTTCTAATCAGTAATTTTGATGTATATGCAAGTAAATTCAAAGACAGGGAAGGGGGGAGTACTTAGTACCTTGGGATTACATGTTTGTTGTTGTTGTTTTGTCCAGTGGAGAGTAAGTTATGGTGGCAGAATTGTAACTAGTTACATTGCATCCATAGTAAAGAAGCAGAGAAATTATATTTCTAGGTACTTGGAATATTTTGAACATACAATTTTTATATGTATGGGTGTTTTGCCTGCATGTAGGTCTTTGCACCACATGGGTGCAGTGGCCATGGAGGTCAGAAAAGGACATTGGATCCCCTGGAATTAGAGTTACAGATGGAAATAGTTAAACTATTGTGAGCTGCCATGTTAATGCTGGGAATTGAACCCAGGGATCTCTGCAAAGAACAGCGAGTGCTTTTAACCACTGATCCATCTCTCCCATACATGATACATTTTTCTAGGTTGTCATTTGATACATGGTGTGAGGCTTTTGCATGTGTATTACCCAGAACTGAACCAAGAGTCACATGCATGCTGGGCAGGTAAGTATTGTACCACTGAGCTTTGTAACTGCTAGGAAGATAAGCTGTCTACCAACTGAGTGCATGTCTTCAGCAGCTTTAAGGTTGTTGGTAAAATGTGAATGTCAGGCTGGAGAGATGGCTCAGCAGTTAAGAGCACTGACTGTTCTTCTAGAGGTTCTGAGTTCAACTCCCAGCAACCACATGGTGGCTCACAACCATCTGTAATGGGATCTGATGCCCTCTTCTGGTGTGTCTGAAGACAGCTACAGTGTAATCACATACATGAAATCAATAAATCGTTTTAAAAAATATGAATATATCTGTTCAAAATTATCTGTTGAAAATGATAAAATCCTTTTCCTGAGCCTACCTAAGAACCAATGGGATACACCACTTCAGTTAACCAGAAAGCTCCCTAGTTGCTGACTCCTCTTCTCCTCATACAGTATGCGCTGCATGTCTACAATGAGGTGATGAGTGTTGGACAGAAATATGGAATCCGGAATGCTGGGTATTACGCCCTCAGAAGTCTCCGAATTGAGAAGTTTTTTGCTTTCTGGGGTCAGGACTTAAACACCCTCACCACGCCCCTGGAATGCGGAGGAGAGTCTCGAGTGAAGTTAGAGAAGGTATTACTTACCCAGATCTCTCTCCCTCGTGCTTCTTAGCCAGACAGTTGTGATGTGTCTCAGATAGGAAGAGATGAACAACTGAAGAGCAGGAAAGGCAGGGATGTGCTAGCTAGCTTCAGGTAAATCACAAGAAGAGTGTGTCCTCAGAACAGGAAACTTACCTGTGGGATGCACAGTTCAGATAAAATCCCAATACCCTGACAACACCTGTTTACATTGGCATACTTTTTAGTCGATTGTGGTCACAAATATATTGTGAATATACCACAATATTTATTTAAATTAGTCACCTTATAGCCAGCTGCCTATTTTTTTCTTAAAATATATTTTTAACTTTTAATTATGTGAATGCATGTGTGTCTGCATGAGGTATATATGTTTGAATTCCCAAAAGAGGCCACTGGGAACAGAGCTTTTGTCCGCTGCAAGAATGCTTATCTCTCCAGCCCCAGGTCTTATTATCTAGAAAACTGTAGTTCAAACAGTCTTCCCACCTGGGAACCTCAACCAGTGTCTTCTCAGAAGCAGCAGTTTGTTTCTATTCTAGAGTGTGCAAGTATGCCAATGTAGGATTCTCCCTGCCCACTTTCAACCTAGATGGTGGTGTTAAACTTGTACCTTGCTTTACTTACAACAATGTATTTCAGCAGTTCCCTGACGGTACACCTGTAGTCTTTTTTTTTCTTTTTTTTTTTCTTTCCTGAGACAAGGTCCTACTATGTTGTCCTGGCTGATCTGGAACTTTCTGTGTGTAGCCCAGGCTGTGTGCGTATGTGCCAGATAGTACTTATTTATTCAATTATTTACTTATCTTGGCCACTGCATATAACTGGACTTAAAAAAATTACACACAATTTTTTTGTGTGCTGTGAAGATGTTCTTATTTAAACTAACCTGTATTTTAATTAATGATAGTCACTATTAAGTTTGTTTACTGTATATGTAAGTATATTGGTACACACATATACGGGAGCTTTTTGTTGGAGATACATGCTTACCTACCTCTAACTCTGTGGAATTGGTTCTTTGCTGCCAACTTTCCTTGGGTTCTGGGGCTCAAATTCTAGTTTCTAGGCTTGTGTGGTAAGAGCCTTTACCTGCTGAGCCATCTTGCCATCCCTCTAGCAAGTATTCTTGATTAACTTTTCAGTTTTTCTAACATTCTTTGTTCTGTGTAGGCTTGTGATTGAAATCTATTCACAGAAGTATGTACTTCTGCTGTTAAAAAACAGTTCTTTGGTGTCTCTACAGTGTACACAGCCTTTCACAATGCCTCCCTCAAACCTCATTTTCTAAAAGCTAGCTAAATGTTTATGCTGCATACCCACGTACTTTCCACTTTTACATGCCAAGGGCCATCTTGTAGACCAGCATCTCAGGGTTTTTCCCTTTTTTTGTTCCTAGGGCATAGACTTCATTGGTCGGGATGCCCTGCTCCAGCAAAAGCAGACCGGGGTGTACAAACGCCTTGTTATGTTCATTCTGGATGACCATGACACAGACTTGGACTTGTGGCCTTGGTGGGGAGAACCCATTTACCGGAACGGAAAGTATGCTGGCAAGACCACCAGTAGTGCCTATAGCTACACTCTTGAGCGCCATGTATGCCTGGGTTATGTACACAATTTTTCTGAGGACAGTGGGGAAGAGCAGGTGGTGACAGCAGATTTCATCAACCGAGGAGAATATGAAATTGACATTGCAGGACATCGGTTTCAGGCCAAGGCCAAGCTCTACCCTGTCACCTCCTTCTTCACTCACAAGCGTAGAAAGGACGATGTGGAGCTGAGTGACTTTCACGGGAAGTAATGCAAGACATCCTCCCTCCTCCCATCCTCACCATGAGGAGATCATTCTGGGAGCTCATTTTCCCTCTGTCCGTCTCCTCACAGAAGGTACCTTTGCCTCTCCTAGGTCTTCAATTTGACCTTAACTTTTTCCTTGAAAGCCTCGTCTTCCCATTTTCTCTCATTTGCTGTTACCCCCTCCTAATAATCCAGGTTCTTCTCATCCCTCCAGCAGGCTCACATTCCCACAGCAGCAGGCAGAACCCACTTGTGGAGTTGTATTCAGGTGACAGACTGATTTTTAAATTCATTGTAAGGCAAGATGGTATTATTTAAGCCTTAGGGTAAAAAATCCATTTCCCTTTGGCTTGGCTTGGCTTCTTAGAGAGTAACCTGCTAATTTTGGTGGATTATTTTGTGTCTGATGAGGCCCTGGGAATCACTTGTGTCTTAACCAGGCAGATGATTCTGTTCCACTGTGCTGAGGTTGCCACCTGATACCTCTTAACCATCTACCTCACCAATGAGAGGGATTGTACGGACTGTCTGCTCTGTGGAAGGGAGAAATAGTTACCTGGCACCCTATGTCCCCCAACTTTGTGCCAGGGCACCTTGCCTGCAGTTTTCTTTATTTTCTGCTATCTTATGTCATGATGATGTTTTTTTAGCTGAGTAAAAGGTATGCCAGTATTTGAAAGGACAAACAAACCATGCTGCCTTTTCTGTTGCTTTTCCCAGCAGGAGCAGTGTGAACTCAGATGCTGCTTTTCTTTCAGCTAATCATAGGTCAGCAAGCTCTCCTTTCTTGATTTCTTCAGATGACTTCTAGCCTCATCTGTGCCTTGTGTAGCCTGCCCACAACCTCAACATCCATTCTTAGCCTTTTAGAAGAGGAAGAGGGGATTAGGTGGGTTGTCTTGGGTGATTAAGTGAACCATGCTGTTCATACTGCGTTCCAGAGAGCTACCAGAGCCCCAAGCTTTACATCTCTAGCATGAACAAAGCCACAAACAGATGACCACTGAGAACTGTAAGTATAGTACAGGCCAGAGACTGCTTCCCGTCTTTTCTTTTCAGGCTCTCCTCCTTTACACTCCCACCCCCAGCCATCTTGATAGAATCTTTGGAATGGGAAGTGAGTGGGGAACCCACCAAATGCACCACACATTTCATCGGTACTGCTGTTTTCTTTTTGTGAGATTCTTTCACACTGGGATTTCAGGTGCGGTGACAGTGTTTTCTGAAGCTGAAACTTGGATGTCCTGGCTGGTTTTTTTTTTTGGTTTGGTTTTTCGAGACAGGGTTTCTCTGCTGGCTGTTCTATATAACATCAACACTGAATTTGTTTGCGCTCATATACAAGCTGCCCCAATCTTTGAGAAACTTGCATTCTCTCAGCACTCGGGATGCAGACGCAGGCAGATCTTTTTGAGTTCCAGGAGAGCCAGGGCTATACAGAGAAACACTGTCCTGAAAACCAGGAAGGGGGGCGAGGAGGGAGAGAGAGTGCGCTAGCAAGCTACCTCGATCACACATGTGCAAACCTTTAATTCAACTGGACTTCTCAGTAACCTGGAAGCACTGGTTCTGCTAAACTGGTATTAATAGAAATCCTTTCATTTCTTTAGAGCAGCTCAAAATTCTCAAGTGTCGTCTTTGACATTTCTGCAGAACTGTTATCCACTCAGACCTGCTCTTTTAACACATTTCTTGCTATTCTCTCCAGTTAGGCCACTCCTACTTGGCTTCTGAGATTTTAATTGATTAAAAGGACACACAATTAAAATTTGGTGTGAGGAGAATTAGTATTTTGGGAAAAAATACGTATTTAATGAGATGAGAGGAACTGTTTCTAGGCAAAAGAAAGAAATGCTCCCTTAGAGAGCTGGGCAGGGCAGCAGCAGTCAGCTGCCGAGGAGCTGGAGTAGACACGCACAGCTCCAGGTACTGTGTGCTCGCTCAGATACGGCTCGTGGCTGTAACATTCCAGTCTGTGTAAATCAAAGTTTATTTGGAATTGAATACAAAATACATTTTTAACCTATGCATCAATAGTAAAAAATGTAGCAAGCAGTAGGTTTACTCTTTAAATATGGAAGTGTTCCCACGTAAGTTCCAAATCAGAAAAACTTCCAAAACTAACAGTGTAGTTTTACAGTTGGGCATGCCACTGTCATTAGTATATTATTCAAAAACAAATGTCATCAAGAGTGTTTTCAGCATAGTTTTTGATTCCTTTCTGCACTTGTTAATTTCTAGCTAATTAACTATTAAGTTGGAAGGCTAGTAAGCCTTCAACTAGTTCTGGCTGTTGCTGATATCAGCAGAGCTTACAGACTGTGCTTGTCTTGCTGCAGTTTTGTCTATGCTTGATTGTCCTAAGTACCTTAAATAGTCAAGGGAGCCGTTTACCTAGAATATCTGGTTCACCAGTGTTGGTAGAGCATTCTGACTGGGCTTCTCAGGAGCAGATGCAAGCTGTTAACAGAAATGGTAGGTCTAGAGCAGTGGTTCTCAACTTGTGGGTTGTAACTCCTTTGGGGGTCAGATGACCTGAGCCTTTCACAGGTCTCCTAAACTACTGGAAAGCACAGATATTTTCATTGTGATTCATAATAGTAGCAAAATTACAGTTATGAAGTAGTAATGAAACTAATCTTACGGTTGGGGTCACTGCATTAGGAAAGTTGAGAACCACTGCTCTATAGAGGCATGACTGAAAATCTAGGAGGACTAAGGAACAATCACTGTACATCCTCAGTTGTGTGACACTTCCGGTTTGTGCCTTGTATAACAACACAAACACTTCAGTTTTAGGTGACACATTCTCTGGAATAATCTGTTACCACATCTACTTCCTAGAGGTGAAGGGTTTTATGTTCTCTGACTATAGAAGCAATTAAATCTCTTTGAACAAGGTAACAAAGTATATAGAAAACCTAGAGTTGGGAGTTTTCTGTGATACTTATTGAAACATTATAAAGGCCTTCTTTTCTCTTAGCTGTTCATATGCCACATACAAAGCCTATTTCTCAGGACTACCACAGTCATTTGAAATATGCTCAAGCTTGTAACAGAGTTCCCTTCCATGGCATAGAACTTGCAAAAAGGGACAAGGAGGAATGGCTTGAAGTCTTAATTGAGAGAATTCCCCACTGCATTTGTAGTTTTCTGTGGGTTTCTATAGATCTTATTAGTCCTGAACACAGGATCATTTAGCACAATTCTAAACCCTAGCTTCAGTCTGGTCTCCAAGAGCCCATTTATGCAGCAATGGACTCTAGCCACTTCAGCTTGGCATTTGTTAGGAAGTACATTAGCTCTGACCTGTCTCCTCTGCACCAAATGTATTCTAGGCTGTTGTACCCAAGAAAAGTAACTAAACATCAAAAGCAAATTTGCCGATTTCGGTATTAACTGCTTTGTTTTTGGATGTGGGTGACAGCTTTGATTTTCAGGTTAACTGTCTTCTACCTTATGAACACTTTGCTAGCATGGGAAACGTTCTTTACCATCCTTGGAGAGAATTTGCATGCCTTATAGTATTGGTACTAGCCCTGAAGACTGACCTGGATGAGCAGTTCCATCATCCTGTTTGCAGGTGTGAACTACAAATTTCATCTTTTTATCTCTTGGTTAACTTCTTGGCCAAGGTAACAGATCTGTATTTAGGACAATGAAGAACAACCAGTCATTTTTTCATTCTCTGCATCACAACACAACCACCTCACACAGGTTGATAAGCAGCATAGTATCAACAGAAGTACACTTTTCTTACGCTGGAGAATGTTCATCTTGTCCTTACGTCTGTAGGCACAGATTGAGGAGAAGCAGGTGAGGAGTGACGTCTGAGCTCGGCTCTGGCAGAGCTGTGGGTGGTTTGGCAGCACCTCCCTTATACCACTTTTTTTGCTCTCCAAGGTGCTGATCTGTAAGCCCCCATTTTCACATCAGTATGGGGCTTTCTCTCGAAGTCTCTCAGCAGTACCAGCACCAGGTACTGTTCACCAAGGATTGAGTGTTCCACCTTTGCCATCTCAGTCTGTCACACATCAGCATTTCCCTGTATAAGACTCTTGGCCTCTAAGCAGTTGTCCATATCTGGATAATTATACACCCTTCATATTTTGAGTCACCTGTTTTTAATCTTTGCAAACATCTACCTCCTTGTCTTTTTGTCTGTGAATGACAGATTATAAGAGGAGGGGGAGTTATTTTTATCATGTTTCAAAAGATCTATGCCAAGATTTCTTTTGCACACCAAGAACTGAAGCTTGGCGCACTTCTCAGGCCAGTTCTAGTGCCTTACACTCCAGGATGTCCAGCATCGGACGGAGGTAGGAAGAAAGCCGAATGTTCAGTCTGTAGGTTCTCATCCCCACATCAGCCCTCCTTGCTCAGAATAAGCTAGGTGTGGGGTAAAAGCTCTGCAGCTCATTCACTGGAAGCTTTTCTGGCTCATACTTAACTCTCTGGTCAGTGCTTAAGATACACGAGGCACCAGTGCAGCTGCCATCAAGGTCTTTACATTTGCATTTAGCACGTGGTTCTGCTCCGCTCCCTTCTGTTCCTGTGTAGTCAGCATGTGGTCCTGAGGACATGCTAGATATTGGAATAAATTTTTCTTAAGAGCAAACTCAGCCGACTTTGGACACATGGAGTAATTGTGTATTTTATGACCAGAATTATTTCTAGATGGCTGGATTTGAATTGAGATTTTCTTTTCATGTATTAGGTATATAAATGAATAAAAAGATGTTTTCATAGCTATTGTAATGTTCATTTGTGAAATGTCCTTTAATTTGGTTACATGTTATTTGCCTTCTCAAAGGATAAAATAAAGCTATTTATATCTCTGATGCTAAGGGGTTTAGGAATCAAGGTCAGAACCGGGCAGTGGTGGCACATGCATTTAGTCCCAGCACTTGGGAGGCAGAGGCAGGCGGATTTCTCAGTTTGAGAGTTCGAGGCTAGCCTAGTCTACAGAGTGAGTTCCAGGACAGCCAGGGTTACACAGAGAAACCCTGTCTTGAAAAAAGAAGAAAAAAGAAAAATTTACACCAGGAAGAGAAGTTATGAGAGTCAACTCCTGAAGGCCTGGGAGCAAAACCAAGCAAGTTTCACAGAAAAAAGGACGTAGAGCCAGGAAAACAGCAAACTCGTTCAAAAGGAAAGGTCAGCAAGTTTCGTATTTACTTGAAATTCATGAACATAACTGTGTAGCTCTACTAGTAACTTTTTTTTTTTTTTTTTTGGTTTTTCGAAACAGGGTGTCTCTGTGTAGCCCTGGGTGTCCTGGAACTCACTCGGTAGACCAGGCTGGCCTCGAACTCAGAAATCCTCCTGTCTCTGCCTCCCAAGTGCTGGGATTAAAGGTATTTGCCACCACCGCACGGCTACTAGTAACTTCTAAACAGCCTTAAGATCCAGACTGACTGCGCCCAGATCTTACACCAACAAGGTGGCAGCTCAATCCTGGAGCAGTGCTCACACCTGTAATTCCCACCACACTGGATACTCAATTAGGAGAAATGCCCCAGGATCCAGGTGAGCCTGGGACACAGTCGAGACTCTGTTTTTAAAAGACAGTAACAGTGACAGTTCTAACAACTCCCGAATTCTCCCTCTGTTAACAGCATAAGCCACAGGTCACAAAGAATGAAGGCTAAATAAATGTACACTGATGCGTCCCCCACATGTAACTCAGAGGAATCACCAGGACAAGTTTAAAAGCAATAGAATGAGCCACTGTAAACAGTCTGATCCTGCAAGTTCAGGATGCAGTGTTTTTCAACAAATGCACCAATGCTCAAAAGAGTTTGAAAAAATTATACAAGTCCCCGCCGCCAAAAAGAGGATCCTTAAAGGACGTCTTTATAACTAGACCCTCGATCACATCGCCATCCCTACAAATCAGGATTGCATAGATGTTCGAAGTAGGCTTGGAGACCGTGGAACCGAACCTCGGGATCATACACAACAGTCACCCCAAGTCACCCACTGGAAACCCCACCGCCATAAGTCTCTGACAGGAGTTGGTAAAGCACGGCCGGAACGCACGTTTCAAGGTGGCAAAGCATTCCACCTGCAGAGACGCGGGGCCACAGCTGGCCGTGACAGCAGCTGCGTGCCCGCTCGAGCCGCAGCCCGCCCCGAGGCCCGGCCGCCCTGGGAGAGCCCGCGCGCAGGCCCGCGGCGGCCGGCGCCGGTCCCCGAGGCCCGCACAGCTCCGCTGCCTGAATTCTGGCGCCCGACCGGTGGCACCGCCTCAGACACCGGGACGAATAGCTGGGAGCCGGAGCCCAAAGCTCAGACGACAGGGGAGTGCGGGGCGCAGGAGTTCACGGGACCAGAAGGCCGCCCGGAGCAGCAGGTCCTAGCCGGCTTCCTACCTCACGGGCCCGCCGCTTGCGGGCAGCGCGCTCAGCAACGCCCGGCGGAAGTGAAGGGCAGCACAACCGCGGCAGAGGGTCTGCGCCGGCCGGAAAGGGGGACAGGGAATGGGGAGGGGGCGGGACGCAGAGCGCAAAGTTCCGGGACCGCAGGGGCCCGCGACCTTCCGCGCTTTACGGCCCGCGGCAAGGGTAAGGCGGGCGCGCGCGCCAACGCGCCGTGACGTCACCGCGACGGGCCGGCCCGCACGTGGGCTTGTTTGGGTCTCGCCAGGCCCCGCCCCTCCCGCGACGCCTCCCTCTCTGCCTAGATGGCGGCGTGCGGGTGTGATGCTGCCGCCCGCCTCGTTCCCCGCTCCCGGCCTCCCGCCGGCCTCGGTCTGTGCGAAGAGCCCGGGCATCGGAGCCGGGCCAGAGCCTCGACCCAGCGTGGGCAGCTCGGGTGATCGTCTGCCGCCAGGCCCGAGCCCCGGTCCTGCGCGCTGGGTCCGCAGCCCAGAGCCAGGTCTCTGCCGGTGGTCGCTGTTCTCCGTCCCTGCGCGTCGCTTAAGGCCTTTCCGTGCTAGGCTTTGGCCTCGGCGGCCGAATCAGCCGACCTGATTTCCTGTCTTACTCCAGGCGGCTGCCCAGAGGGAAAAGCATTGTTTACTCGAGCCTCAGAAACATCTACCTTGCATCCCCTCCAACTCCCAGTCACATCCCCCAGTTTTCACAGCACTCATCACTAGCTTAAATATGTGTCGCTACGTTCCTTTACACTGGTGTAGACGTGGCCCTCTGATCTCTTGAGGACCTAACCTTGCTCAGGTGCAGCTTCTCAACACCTTCAACCCGCGCCTGCACACTCCAATGTATCCTTTCCACAGACAGCAAGAGAAATGGTGTATCTTGGACTGTGTTCTTTAGTTACCACCCAAATGACATCTTACAACCCTCTATAAACCCAGGGGATCCAATAACATCTCCTGACCTCTACAGACACCAGGTACTCACAGGGTCTATATATGTAAATGGAGAGAAAACTTGGCTTCCAGGCCGTTGACTCCCATGGTAAACTTTGCAAACTCTCAAGGCAGGAAAGTTGCAGGCCCCCACCTGAGCTCTAGCCCTCACCCCTTCTAGCACTAGGCCCTTGTTCCAGACCTTTCTGTTATAAATGGGGCTTCCAGCCTCTGTAACTCCAGGGCTTCAATAGAATTCTTCCAAGATTATGCTAATTTTAAGTGAAAAGTCTCAACAGGTAAAGCTACCAATCCCTGAGCGTCCCAAAGAAACCCACCAATCCCTGAATAGGAAAACTTATCACTCCCTGAGTTTCCCCAATCCTGGGACTTGAAATCTCACCAATCTCCATGCTAGAAATCTCTGCCCTGAAAAGCTCAAGCCCATAAGGAATCCTCTATAAGCTCTGCCCCCGCTGTTCAACTCAATGCTGTCTTCTCACCAGAGCAGAGGTAGCCAATCCTGAATTTATCCCTCATAATAAATGTCGTTCATGAGGTTTGCTGGCTGCTGTGACTTTCATCGGAAGGAGCCAGGAAGGGAAGAAGGGATCAGGGCTGAGGTTCCAGAGCTCCTCAGCTCAGCTGCTAAGTGGAGCTGTTAAAGGTAGCACTGCAGCTCAGCCAGGGAAAGCCTCACTCTGACTGCAACCCCTTTGTTGAGGAGGCGTCCTCTCAGGGCAGCCAGTCTTCTTAACTAATAAACCATTTCTCTAGCAACAAATAGAAAGTTGTGTGTGTGCACATGTGGATGGCAGACAACTTCAGAGAGTTCATTTTCTCTTTCTACTATGTGGGTCACAAGGACTGAACTCAGACAATGATGAGATTTGGAGGTAGGTACTTAGACATCATGTCAGCCCACGCTTTCGTTATTTTTTTAAAAGTAAAAATAATTTTATTTTGTAAATGTTTTATGTTCATGTAAGTATGTTATGTGTATCATGTGTGTGCTTGGTGCCCAAGGTCAGATGTTGGATTTCCTGGAACTGGAGTTACAGATGACTGTGATCTGCCATGTGGGTGCTGGAAACTGAACCTAGGTCCTATGGAAGAATAAGAAGAACTCTTCGAAGCCATCTTTCCAGTCCACTATTGCTTTGGCTGCCTCTCAACACATTTCCAATCTTTTGGGATAATATTTATTTCCTGATTTACTCAATGAATTGTGGGTTAATTGCTAAATGTTTCTATGTATCTTTTCACTGTTGACCTCAAATTAATCTGTGGCTAGAAAATATTTGGGAGACTAGAATTCTTTGAAACACAAGTAGCTCAAGGCATGGTATAAGTTGACAAGTGTTCCACAGAAATAAAATAAACTATATTCTACAGTTGCTGGGTAGAGTGTTTAGGGGTTGCTGGCTAGGGCGGTGAAGAGAGGGGCTTGATGAAGGTAATGGCAAGGGCTGAGCTGGGTACCAGCTGTAGGGCCACGCTAGCCATATGTTGGATACCCAGAAGAGGTGGCATGCCTGTGTCCTCTCTAGGACAGAGCCTCTCACACATGGGAAGAATGAGTAATTCAGGAAAAAGCAGCCCCACTGAAGAAACCCAAGATGTACCTCTCAACCTGCTGCAGCTCCCTGAAAAGGGGATGCAGGTTCCCCTTCCAAATCCTGCGGTCTTACCTTGCTGGACCCCAACAAGCTAGGATCCGAGGACCCTGTCGGCAAGGCCTGTGTGTGTAAGTTGGCTCACATCTCTGTAAACCTGCAAGGGCAAGAGAGTATTCCCGTTCACTACAGAGAATATTCGACAAGTACAAACCTGCAAACTCTTTATTAAATTCTCCCATTTCATCTGTACAGAAAAAAATGCACATTATGTTCAGAATCTCAGTAACATCTCAAAATTACACAGCATGAACATGTAAAAACAAGAAACTGCAGGGAATTTATACATAGAAAGGAAATCCATTTACAAAAGGTTTGTTAATTGTACTTTTCTTTCAAAAAACAAAAACAAAAAGCAAAACCAGGTTAGAGGCCCAAGACCCTGCACAGCATGCCACACACTCTGCAACTTTTCTGTGACTGACCTGCTTGCTATCAGGAAGCCCTCTGTCACCACTGTGCTGCCAAGTGAGCTGAGACCTGTTCCAGCAAAGGACCACATGCTCTGAGCTTCTCATGTCAGTGTGGGCTGGGAAAAAGTGAGACATGACATAGAGACCCGGCCTGTCTGCAAGCCTCCTCACCCCGGAAGCTCTCCACTGCCTGGTGCTCAGTGCCCAGGTAGAGGATAAAGATGTCACAGAAGATCCCTGACAGGATCCTGCCACCACCTACCTGCACAGACAACTGTATCTTCATGTTCTGGGTGACAAGCAGCCCCTGGCCTCCACAGCAGCCTCACTGTCTGCTTAGGGGAGTGTGTCACCCTGAGGTTTAATCTTGGTTGCTTACAACTTACTGTTGTCTGAGGTCTGGGTAGAAGAAAGGGAAATTTGGCCTAGTGGAGAGACCAAGGAAAAGTGTGGCTGGACAGATGGCAAAACAAAGCTACATGGATGGAAGGGGAGGCCAGAGTAAGGTACAGCCCCTTGGGAACTGAAGCCAAGTGGGGCAGAGATGGGTCAGACCTGGGCCCTGAAGGCCATACTCTTCAGAACTACTTAGTGTGCCTAAAGGGTAAAAAACTCAAGAGGAAGTTCTGAGCTGTGTGAGTTTTCAAACTCACAAGAGGAAAAAACAAACTTCCAAGAAGCATGTGACTCAAAAAGCCACCACCTTCTTTTGGTTCTCTGGCCCTGTCTTAGGCTGCAAGTTGCCAGACCGGGCTGGCTGACTTCTGAAATACTGAATCAGGGGCAAGTAGAAAAAGCTTGTTTTGGGGCAGGGAAAAAAGAGTCGAAGGGAGGTTTCTTTCCAGAAAGTCCAGAAATGGTACCATAGCCTCTAAGGTAGGCTAGGGGTTCTGGAAGTCACACTGGTACGCAAGAGTGAGCGCTCTCTCAGGAAGGCTGAGGACACGGACCACATAACTCCATCCTAGTCCTAGTGTCTGAAAATCAGGGCATCTTCCATCAGTTGATTTCAGGAAACAGGAAGACATAAAAGGTTGGATAATAATTTTCTGCCAACTCATCTGGGACAGTGGACTGTGTGCTCCTAGCTAAGAACAGGAGGTGGCAGCCATGGTGCCTGTCCTGAACTCTGTTATCACCTGATAACTAAATGCTACTTCATCAGTGGCTCTGCAGTGCCCTGACCTACTAAGTAAGGATGCATGCCTCAGCAATCTGGCTTGATCCACAGAACCGGGGCTGGAAATGGTGGCCAGAAGTTCTGTGGCAATGCAGGGGTTAAGGCTTTCCCAGGGTCAGACTGCTAACATATCTCCGACAGCAGCAGCAACAGTCAAGTCCAGGGACTGAGTAAAAGAAACATCTTGCTCCTTTACTGGGAGAAGCCCTGTCAGAAAAGAAATTTAGTTTGTCTTGTTCTTGGCTCACTATCAGATTTCTGACCTCCTGGTACACAGAGGCCTTGGCCCAGGCACGGGCCCCAGATTTTTGAAATAGCAAAGGGAAGTGTACCACCAACAGTCCCCAAGACACTGGCAAGAGCTGGCAAAGCTAGACCACAGAGACTTAGTAGTGCCTGAGGCCTTGGCCTAAACCTCCTGACTACTTCTATTCTTAGGCAATGAAGGCAGAACAGTGAAGGGCAAGGCTCAGACTTTGGCTTCCACTGTAGTAGGTCAGGGTTCTTGATGAGTTCATGTCTATCTAATTTATACCCATGACTGACTTGTGAGGCACAAAGCCCACTCCACTAAGCCCAATGAGCTATAGAATAGATAGCACTGAGCCCCATAGACATAGACTAGAAAAATCTGTTTAAGACCAGGACCATCAAGTCATAAGAACTACTCCAAGGAACACGATCACTTCCTTGTACTAAGCAATTCAAGACACTAGTAGCTATCTTTTCTATTCGGACCATTTCTAATGGCAAAGGACCAAACTCACGAAACCTACGAAACCTCGAAATCTGCTGCATGCAGTATGGATTCCTGTCAGTGCAGAAACAGAAGAGCTAAGACATGTCAGAAGCACATATCAGAAGGGAGGGTACAGGGATCAGAGCTATGATTCTACCCTCTGTCTAATGGTGAACATCAGTCTGACACAGAGAGTCTTGGGGAGAGAGGGGCCTTTATATTGGCTCAGCCAGTTAGAAGTGGAGGAGGATGCTTACAGAGCAAGGGTTTTAAGTCTCATTAAACTCAAGAATCCCAGGACAGCTGCTGAGAATCAGGAAGACTCTAAAAGCAGTACATAGGCCCAGGCAGCTTAGCAAGCAGTTCCCCTGGTGACTTCTATTGCCCTATGCAGGGGATATACAGCTAGCCCTGGAACTCACTGCCAACAGAAAAGGCAGCAGAAAAGAAAACCACAGTATTCAAATGAATGTCAGTCAGGTCAGACACGGAGTAATTTGGAGCAACTGACACAGCCTGCACTGAACACATCTCAGGAAGACACACTGCTCAGGTGCAGCAGCATCTGTAGGTGCACATGGGAGGCAGGAGCAGGGAGGCACCGCAGAGGGCCTGGGTCTGTTTGGACAGGTTTAGGCACATGATTTATAATACTCTGTGGACATCTAACAGGTTAATAAAATATATATTATATAAATATATCTCCTACTGTACATGCCACCCTCTGTACAGTCACTGGGACACCATGGCCCAAACTCGCCGAAGGGGAACTGCAGTGCCTTGGCTCCTCCCTCCTATGCACCAGCCCTGTCATCTTCTCACTGGAGGCATAAGGGAAGACAGCTGGGAACCCTGCTCCTGTAAAGCTCAGATTATGGAAGGTTGTCAAATCACCAAAATATAACATTTAGCCAGTGCCTACTAGAGTGGGTACACACAGCAAATGAACAGAAAGGGGAAAAGAATGAAGAAAATCCTCCATCTTTTAATGCAATCACTTCCCACATCCCTTCATTTAGAGGCACCACGGAGCTTGTCAGAGAAGTCTGCCTGGCATGTACAGAGAGCTAGCCTTCAATGCCAGTCACACACCCGAGACCACGCTACATCTGCAGAAGCCATCATTTCTGGCCTGTACTGTTGCTCAAAAAACTAAGTGAAGTGAGTCCTACACCTGTTCCTTCCTGCCCTGCCACCCCCACCCTCATCTTAGAAGCCCCATACCCCAACTTAGTAACTACTTCCTGTTGAGGTAGAGAACTTCCAGGGAACCCCACACTTAGCAGGGTTCATCAAGATGAGGCAGCTCCATCCCATCCTGGAGGAAGATGATGGCTGGGCCCCTGCTGGCTGTGCCCTCAGGCCTGCTTCAGACTTGCTTCCTAGTCTGCCAATGACCCGGGGAGGCTCGTGTCTGCACTGAAGTGGGGAGATCACAGAAATGCTTGTTGCTATGGGAGCAGTAGCTTGTCTAGGGTAGAGGGTAGAAGGCATCACACTGCAGTAGAAGCAAACAAGCCTAGAGCAGGCTGCTGAGTGTCCCCACTACTTGCTGAAGTTCCTGCCTTGATGTGGCCCATAGTTGCTTCTAGGAGAGGAAACCGACATTTCAATGATCAGGCACCGGATGTGCATGTTCTCCTCCACGTCCTGCTGACACCTGCTGCATTTACATGAAAGAAGTAATCTTACTGCTGAGTCAAGACTGAAGGAGATGGTCTACTATATACATTTTTTCCTTTTTAAATATTTTTGTCTTTTGTTTTTTTTGTTTTTAAAAAAAATTTGAGTTGCAGGTCAGGTGAGTCGGTTCTGGAAGTACCAGCAGTTCTGTTGGTATAACAGAATTGTCTACAGGCAGGTAAACCTTCACCAACAAAAGCTACCACCAAAGCAGCCAGCTGCCGATGCTGCAAGGGCAGCTGGGAGGAGGAGAAGGACAACGAGGACATGGCCAGGTCTGGATGGGAAGATGCAGTGGGCACCCGGTGCTGCTCTACTGTGGATGTTGGTGCCACTGTTAGAAGGGCGAGGTGAGAGGGTACACTATACAGGACGGCTGTACACGCGGGCGGGCCTGGGCAGGCGGCTCCTTTGGTGGTCAGGCGGCTCTACCTGTCCTTCAGCTCTCGTGTCACTCTCTTAGTGATCCGTCCACACATCAGGCCGATCAGGAACAATATGCAGATGCTCCCGCTGATCACAGACAGGATGTAGTTCTTTGAGGGGGATGTCATCACTTGCATGGCAAGATCAGAGAACCCGTCTGCTGGGGCCACCTGAAGGGAGACAGCAATATGACCCCAAGGGTAAGCTGGGTAGGTGGCAGGGCTATGTCTAGCTCGTCCCTTGGATTCCTAGTTCAATCATCTTTTTTTCTATAATTTAAATTAGAAATTCTTTTAATTTAAAAAAAATATATTTTTAAATGGAGTCTCTTCATACATGAGCTCTTCATATGAAGAACTATACCAGGTATCTCTGGCTGCCTGGAATTCACTATGTAGCCCAGGCTGGTCTAACTCAGAGATCTACCTGCTTCTGACTCTCAAGTGGTGAGATTAATGACACATAGCATAACACTTGGCCTTTTTTTTTTTTATTTTAAATATTACTGCTATTCTTGTTCTGTGCAAGTGTCTGTATAAGATGTGAGTATGTAGGTGCACACATGCCCTGATGACATGTGGAGGTCAGAGGACCACTCTGGAGTCAGTGTACTCCTTCTGCTTCTAACTAGGCTCCAGGGATTGGCCTCCGGTCTTCAGGTTTTTTATCCACTCAGCCATCGTGTACACCCTATCTTTTAGTTCATGAAGAGATAGGGAAGGAAATCACACAGCTATAACACTCTTTCTGGATCATAAACTGCAGGTCTCCCCTGCCCAAACAGATAGAGAAAGACACAAAGAGGTGCCACCATCCTCAAGGGTTGTTAACGCACTAGGAGCGCCTGGACCCGTGGACAGGACTCTGAAAAGCTGAGACCATGTTTTATATTTTTCTTTTCTTCCTCTTCTGTTGTGGATATAAAGTCTCATTTCAACATTTTTACTGTTGTTAGACGAAGGTCTTGCAGGCTGGCTCAAACTTGTGCTGCACTTGCTTCACCTCCAAGCACTGGGATTACAGGCTCGACCACGACTCTGGCTGGTCTCTATCGAGTTTCTTAATGTGACTTTACTTATTAACCACCACACTGTAAGTATTTCCACATCAAAAACATTGTATAATCATCACTTAATGATAGACTACACTTTACTGCACACCAATCTTGGACATTTATGGTTTAACTGTTTTCATCCTCAATTCCCACTGCATATGCCAATGAGTCAGTGTGGTACCTCATATGATAGAACCAGGACCAAAGGTTTCCTAGGTGTACATAAAACTGTTCTTTTGTATCATCCCAGAAGCATGGTCAAGGGAAACCTGAGTGGCTCCTAGGTTCATGATATGTATGTAAGAGCAGCATAGGGAGGGGTGAGAGTAACAAGATTTGTCCACACACAACAAGCAGTGAGTGACAACCCGAGCAGCTCAAAGGAGAGGACAACAACATGGGAAGTGACTTAGTATCTGCTCTTCCACCTAACCTGGGGCTTCACACATGGCTTCTTTCTTTGAGGAGATGTGAAGGGATGGCTGACAGTTATGATAAATGCTAACCTTTCAGTAGTGGAGTCTGGGACACTGAGACAACGCTTTGTAGATTTAGTCAGTCTGCTGTGAAGGAGACTTCAGGGTTCATAAACAGTTCATAAACAGTCCAGATTTAGAAATAATAATTTTTTTTTTTTGAGACAGGGTCTCTCTACATAGGCCTGGCTGGCCTAGAACTCACAGAGATAGGACTGTATACTACCACCTGGCCTGATTTTTGGAATATACCTACTGCTCAATTTCTAGCCAAGATGACATCAATGACATATGCCACAGAGACAAAGACTGGCAGGAGGCTGCCACGTCAGATGCTCTCTCGGTCTGTACCTTGGCTGCGTAACTCCACATTTCAATTCGGTCATTCAGGCGCTTTTTGCACTCTGGCTGCAACCTCACTCGCTTATCTTCCAAGGCCTCCATCAGGCAGGACATCTCTGTGGAAGCAAATGAATAAGAAGTTTGCAACTGCACAGAAATAATTTTGTAAAATCTGGAAGAAGATTCCCATGCATCTGAGAACTCAGCTCTTCAGGACTAACAGAGTCAAATTCTTTCTAAAAACCTTTATCAAGATCCCACTGGTGAGCAGTGTCAGCTGCTCAAGAACTGTTAATACCTCCTATTTTCGTTGAGTGTTCCTGGTCAACAAGCTATGTGTCACCTGGGCTCCAGATGCCGAGAAGCTGCCATAGTGCCTATCATGGCCCCTGAGATGCTCAGTGTGGGAAAGGGGGGAAGGGGGTATGATGGTGATTGAACTTTTTTTGAAGACAGAGACTCTCCATGTAGCTCTGGCTTTCCAGGAACTCTCTATATAGACCAGGCTGGCCTTGAACTCAAAAGAGATCTGCCTCTCTCTGCTTCTAAGTGCTGGGACTAAAGGTGTGCACCACTATGCCTAGCTGTACCTGAATTATATAATAAATACCTCAAATTAATTTTTTTCATGAAATCTCTGGCTCTGATCAATTCAAACCTGCACAACTGTTCCCAAACTCATGGCCACCAAAGCCTAGCTTTACCATCAAGCAGACATACAGAGATGCTGTATATGACTGGATAATAGCCACAGAACAGAGTAGCAGCAACTAGTAACTCAAAGGTAGCTTTTGTTCTGCCCAAAAAAGTTCAGAAAGGAAAAGACTGAACAAACATTACTCACGACGCCCACGGCCAGGGGTGATGGCTGCACAGTGGTGTTTAATGTCCAAGGCACATGCTGTGTGAAGAACTGGGTCCACAAAGATGTCTGCTTTGCTTTCCTTCAACATGTTTAACACTTCCTGAAAAGGGAAGTTCATTGTGGAGAGAGCTTTGTAGAAGAATGCACCCAACCTACTGTCTGTAATACTCTATAGAACATGCAAACAAACAAGCCAAAGAGTGAAGGTGAAGGAGAAACTATTCTGGGATAGGAGGGTGGTAATGACTAAATATGCACAGAATGTAGATTTTTGGCACCTAATTTAATTTGCTAACTACTTCTGAGGAGTCCAGGATAGTATACACAGACTGGATGATCGGGCAGGGTTCTTGACACTCTGGCATGCCACATTATTTTAAAGTATGTATATGTTAGTATTTTATTTATATAATAGTTATTGTTTCTTTTGAAAACCTGAACAATGTGAAACTCAAAAATTAGATTGAGAATTTTAACATACAGCCTATAAGTTTAACTTCTGAGTTCTACTTTTCAATCAAGAGGCTGGAGACATGGCTTAGTGGCTAAGAGTACTTGCTGCTCTTCCAGAGGACCTAAGTTTGGTTCCTAACACCTACAATATCCAATACCTCTGGCTTCCTTGGGCACCAGGGACTTATGTTCACATATGCACATGCAGATAACATATACACATAACTTTAAAAAAGACCTAATTACTCAATCAAGTAAGGGTATATTTTATAAAGGCTGTGCTGAATGTATTTGAGTCCACATTTTGAAGAAAGGTAGGAGATGGTTGAAAACCAAATTCAAGCTGGCTGTGGTAGCATAAGCCTTTAGTCTCAACTCTTGGGAGGCTGAGGCAGGTCAATTTCTGAGTTTGAGGCCAGCCTGCACTACAGAGTGGATTCCAAGTCAGCCAGGGTTACACAGAGAAACCCTTGTCTCATAAAAAAACAAAAAAAGTATTGAAATATAAAATATAAGCCTTTCTACCGGCATTCTATGCTGTTACCTCTTTTCAAACAGTAATATGGTCCTTGACCATTATTCTATGTCTCTCCCAATAACTAATGTAATAGAATCAAAAGAAGAGTGGAGGCGGCGAGCGGTGAGGCGTGCTGGGGATGTGGCTACCTTCTTACACAGCTCTGTCTTGATCTTGAGCAGGTTGACCTTCAGACACTCCTCCACTTGGCCTGTTTGCTCCTGGGCTGCTGCTTCTTCAGCACATAGATTGGCAATCTACTCAGGAAACAAGAAAACATGGCTGTCCTGCTGAGAAACAACTGGCTTCCAGAGAAGACCAACTCTGTCCAACTAGCCCTGAAAACACAGTGCCTGTTGCTGACTCTGAATGGGCCTGCTTCTCAGGGACAGCAATGCCAACACCTTTAGAATCCTGGGCCTCTAACATAATGATGATTCTCCCAGACATGAACCCAAGGTTCAGCTTAGCAGCTTCCTAGTGGACTGTGCCCTCCCCACACCCGCACTTGATTCCAGATGCCCAAGTTCTGTTCTCCATTCAAAGTTCACTGTCAGTTCTGAAATGAGTTGCACTGTTCCTCTGGGATTCCACAGGAGGAAGGTCAACTTGACATGTGTTGCATGTGACATGAACTCACAGACTTCCCAAACATGATCTTCAGAAAAGCGAGTAAACCACCTTCTTTAGATAGCTTTAAGAGCAATCTAAGCAGGGCTTGTCAGGTGGCTTTTTCTAGCTGAGCAGATCAATTATTTCCAAGGACAGGCACTTAGAGGCACTAGGAGAGCACTCTCATTTTTCTGGCAAGTCTTGAGGGGTTCTGAATGGCTATCCAGAATCATCAGGGAGGATAACAGTACATAGAAAAGTAATTATAAAAGAATATTCTTATTCAATAGTAGATCATGGAAGCAGTAGTGTAGTGTAACAAACTGATGCTAAGATTGGTTCAGTGTCATGTAGAACCTGGAAGTCTTCCCTACAAGACAGGCCTGTAAGTAGCCCTGTTAGGAAGAAAGTACGGTATAGAGCTTTCTCCTGTCACCTCTTTGGGGAAGCCCTCCTTAGCACCCACATCCTACCTCATCTGAGCAGTGCAGCTGGAGCTGAGGGTCCAGGCGGTAGTCTAGAGCAGACTCCTGGATGATGATGCGGATCTGGTCCTCACAGTCTGAAGAGAGGCGCTAGAGAGACAAAGGAGACTAAATCAGCGCACCCGAGAGCATCAGATTTATCTGAGCCCTCAGATCCCAGCTTGGGAAGGCATAAACATGCCAACAGGAGGGTGCTCTAGTGATGTCCATGGAGAAAATGCTCGTCAGTGCAGCTCTACAGAGCCAGGCCAGCGTACCTGGTCAGCGTATCTCAGCTTGAGGCATGAGATGACTTGGCCTTCTAGTTCCGAGTCATCCTTGGCCTTGGTCAGGATGCCATGACAGAATTTAGGGATGTCAGCTTTACAGGCCTTCCTTAGCACGGGATTTAAGCGGTAATCTAGAGTAAAAACATGTCAGTGTGTGATGAAATGGTTCACCTGTAAACTTTCATAAATTTTTGAAAATCCATCTTTCAAAGGGGACATATTAGTTGGGCTGCAATTAGCTGGGGTGCATATTAGCAAAGAGGGCGGTGGTGGTGCAAGCACTCTGGAGAGAGGCAATTGGATCTCTGTGAGTCTGAGCTATTTCTGGTCTAAAGTTCCAAGACACCCAGAGTTACAGAAAAACCTTGTCTCAAAAAAACAAAAGAGGGGTGGGGATGGGAGTCATGGGCACATATTATACCAACGGTCACAAATATAAACACCAATTTGTTATGTTAGTTAATGGCAGATGAGTTGTCATGCCACGATTGCTGTTGTTTTTAAAGGAAGGACTTCCTATAATTCAAGGAATGTATCTCTTCAGAGGAGAAAAGGCATGGCGGCAGGCCTGCTAGTCACACTGTTTTGAGACATGAACTTAACAATCCTCCTGCCTCAGCCTTTCATGTGCTGGGATTAAATGTGTGTCTACCACACCTATTTTCCCCAACACTGCTAATCAGCAATGAGACTCAGCTCAAGGACACTTGGCTGGCTCTCAGGAACCTGCACCTCTGCAGCAGCTCTGCAAGGATCTGTGGTCCAATATTTAAAACAAACAATCATTTGGACAGCAGAAACCTTGTCCATAACAGATCATTTTGAAAGAAATATCTAACAATTTTTGTCCACTAAGGTACAAAGTTTCCCAGGCAAGAGCTGAAATTTTCCCTCTGAAAATGATTGACCGTGCTCATGAAGTCTGAAATTCTAGAGTAAATCTAATGGTTATTTATTTTCTATGCTTTTTAAGTCAGCTGTTCAGGTTTTCAGCCTCCTTCCCTTGACCTTCATTCTATCTTTCTGGAAGGCCTGCAGAGGAGGAGAGTACACAAGTCAGATAACAACATGTAACAACATGTCCTGCCAGTTCTACTTGGGATATGCTCAACAGAAGCAGGAAAGCTGAGCCAAGACGTACCTGTGTTCTGGGTGATCTGACGCTTGGTTATCATCTGTTTGCATTTGGGATCCATCAATTCACTGTTCTTGTTTTGTTTTAAACACTGCAACATAGTTTTAGAATCTGCTTCTGGACAGAACCGCTGCAAAGAAAACAAAATTATATGAAAATGGCTCTCATACTGGCAAATAATCTACCTGTGATCTTTGGTTTACCTAGTGCTTTTTCCAGTTACCAGGGAGCTCACAGAAGCACAAGTCCAAGGCATCACTTGACCTAAGCAAAGAATAGCCCCAGGGCCCCTCCTGCATTTCTCACACTTCTCTCTGCCAACACTGGACATCAACCATACAGGATGTACATTCTGCATGGCTTTAGTTCCTATTGCTACGGCTGTGTCACAGTGCAGGCCGTTTCACAAGTGCAACTGCTTGGTGAATATGAATATAATAGTCATCCCGCCCTCAGGCTGCACCTACCCAACCACAGCGGTAATACTTAGGAATAACTGCTAACCACAGTGAACAGAGATTTGAGGTAAGGATCCATGTTGGGACTCATGGTTAGGGTTAGGGTTAGGACTAACCCTAACCTCAAGTGTTGGGACTGTAATCCACCAGTGTGAGGTCAGCCCCTGTACACTCTCTGCTCCTTCAGTCAGAGCTCAGCGTGCGGCTGGTATGAGCTCCACCTTTACTTGTCAATCTACATGTCTGGTCACGGCAACTCAAACTCTGCTTAGGACCCCTCGTTCACCACGAGGTCTCCCTTGCTTATTTAACATTTGTGTTTTTCCTCCCTCCCTTCTTCTTTCTTTGGCATGTGAGTGCAAACACACACAAATAAATAAACATTAAATTCCCACTGACAGTTATTGATAGAATCAGGTATTTTAAAGGAAACGAGGAATTTTATTAAAGTTTCTTTGCACTTCTTTAATTTCTTTGCATACATAGGCACGTTAAGAAAATTCACTGTGACCGGGTGGTGGTGGCACACGCCTTTAATCCCAGCACTTGGGAGGCAGAGGCAGGCGGATTTCTGAGTTCGAGGCCAGCCTGGTCTACAGGGTGAGTTCCAGGACAGCCAGGACTACACAGAGAACCCCGTCTCGAAAAAACAAAAACAAAAAACAAAAAAAAGCAAACAACAACAACAACAACAACAAAACCCAAGAAAATTCACCTTAAGCCATGTGGTGGTGGCACACACCTTTAATTCCAGAGGCAGAGGCTGGCAGATCTCTGTGAATTTGAAGCCATTAGGTTTACAGAAAAAATTCCAGAACAGCCAAGGCCATACAGAGAAACCCTGTCTTAAAAAACTCAAACCAACAAACAGTCACTGGAGGATTATTTGAAGCAAACGAATAATATAGAATACCTACACATTTTACAGGTTAGAGATGGCTAGTGGATAAGGGCATTTGCTCTTCTTACAGAGGATCTGGGTTCAGTTCACAGTCCTCACGTGGCAGCTTACAACAACCTGTAACTTTAATTCTAGGAACTGCAATGCTCCTCTGGTCTCAGTGGGCCCCAGGCACATATACAGTATCCATTCATACATGCAGGCAAAAGACTCATATACATAAAATAAAGTGTAAAAATTTTGAACAGAAAACAACATCTTGAGAGTGTGAAAAATGCTCTGAAGAAAACACTGGATTGTGGCTTTCTCAGCCCACCTATCCTGGCAACCTATTCAACTGTGCATTGTTCAATGCAAAGCTAGTTAGCTCAGCTCTGTGATTTTTCCAACATGAGCAGCATCCAAACCACAGCTGAGGGCATCACCACATTGGCAGTGTTTAACAGGACACAAAGGAACGGGGTCCCACTGTTACTGTCACTTAGGTCGTCTTTGGTCCTTTACCTTAATCATCTGCTTGCAGACTCGCATGAGTGTATAGTCTAGTTCTGGATCCATCATCTCTGTCTCCTGCAGCTTAAATACTTTCTGGTGGCAACGGGTACTCAGCTGCTTCTTGTTTTCTTTTAGACATTCAATAATCTACAATAGAAGAGTTACGGCTGAGTTAGGAAATATACTAGAAATTCACAGTTCATCTATTAACTAACAGTTACGTGTAATGTAAGAGTTAGGAAGTGTATCAGGTGGAAGTCATCTATTCTGACGGACACACTCACTTCAGCACACGACACTCCACTGTTTTTCCAACCCAGGACCTTTTGTTTCTAATTCTAGGCAATAGGAATGAGAATTTTCTCATTAAGGAAAATTATACTCATTGACTTATATGACCTCAGGGCCGATAGTGAACCAAAAGACAAACATTCAGAGTGATTGGCAGGTGGTACTGGAATCTAAAAGGGAACCCATTTAGGCTTTCTGAGTTCTTCTGCCTTCCCGAGCCATTCCTTGTAAGGATTCCTTGTGGAGCACACATTTGACTACTCTCACTAGAGAGCAAGTCTAGAAATTTGATCAAACTCAACATATATTTGTAAGAACAGTGTTAGATGCTAAGTGTGAACTGTACCCAATCCTCCATGGCAAATACCATCTTGAGGGCAAACTATGAAGAGCTGTGACAGCAGGTGAGGTGGCACTGTAAAGAGCATCCCCGGGACGGGGATCTAAGCTTTACCAAAGCTTAGATATAAAGATATGTAACTAGGAAAAGCAGACGGGAAGCAGTCCGATGCTAGGGCTGCAGCATGAAGTCACAACACTTCTCTGAAGGACTTTAGGCACAACCAGAAGCCATCAACTAGTTCAAGCACACTGATACCTTAAGAAATGATACAGAAGCCGGGCGGTGGTGGAGCACGCCTTTAATCCCAGCACTTGGGAGGCAGAGGCAGGCGGATTTCTGAGTTCGAGAGTTTGAGGCTAGCCTGGTCTACAGAGTGAGTTCCAGGACAGCCAGGGCTACACAGAGAAACCCTGTCTCGAAAAAAAAAAAAGACCAAAAAAAAAAAAAAAAAAAAAGAAAAAAAGAAAGAAAGAATACAGAAGCCAAGAACTCACGCCTGAGAGGAAAAGGAAATAGACCAGTCAAAGAAAATGCAAAAACACAGGTAATGTCCTAGAAGCAATACAGAAGAAAATGATAAGTAAGAATCTAGAATACATAGTTATAAAAAGAAGCAAGCAGAGATTTAAGAACTGAAAATGCCCAATAGTGCTGTTTAAAGACTGAGAGATAAGTCTGGCAGCAGTGGCAAAGGCCTTTAATCCCAGCACCTGGGAGGCAGAGACAAAGGGGTGGATCTCTCTAAGTCCAAGGCCAACCTGATCTAAACATTGAGTACCATGACAGCCTGGGTTACACAGAGAAACTCTGTTTCAAAAAATAAAAGCCAGAGAGAGGTAGGGAGGGGAGGGGAAGGAAGAGGAAGGGAAGAGAATGGAAGAGAGAATTGAAGAATAATTATTAGTCTGGGTAAACTGAGTTATCACCTCAAATACAACACAAAGTAACCAAGACTGGAAACCAATGACAAATGAAAAAAATCACTAGGGACAGACCTGGTGCACCACCTGTCCACAGGAATTCTGGCATAAGGGAAAACAGAGCTCTATCTGAAAGAACGGCACCCAGACGAAGAATCTGTTCTGACAAGTGCCCAGCATGTTAGAGAACAAGATCCTGCCTGGACTCATTTCCACCAAAATTATACGTCATCAAACAGAAACTCAAACCTAATAGAAAGACTAACTACAAAAAAAGAGAAACAGAACTCAGACTTTGTACTGGCAAACATAGACAAAAGACAGGGAAGAAAGCATCTCAGAGGTTAAAGAACCTAGCTTGGGACTTGATAGCTGAATAAGCAGACATTTTTAAAAAATCATAAAAACCTGAATTTCAACCCGGGTGATTCCAGGATTTGCTTCTATATTATTTGAAAAACCTCACAGGTTATTTTAACTTGATGTCTAATAGGGATTCCCCTGCAGTGCTGGACAAGGTAGTTTAAGCCAGGTGGACTGGTAGTTGAAGACACCCACTGTAAGCTACCTAGGGAGTCTGAGGCTAGCTGGGTAACATGATATCTTGTCCTAAAAATCAAACACACAAAAATTTCTGTGTGAGGTGCTATCAGGAAAGAACACGCAGATCACGGGTAGGCAGTGAGAGAGCTGAATAAAGAAGTCAATATGATCAAGGTATATCACATGCACATATAAAAATGTCGTCAGAAAACACTTTATTTTGAACAACTAATATGTAGCAATTACAAAAGGGAAGAAAGAAGTAGAGCGCCTGACTTGAGCTCTGTAACTAAAGACGGTACCTGAGCATTTCCATACTGCACTGTAGAACAGTAGTTCTTGATGTCACTCTTGCAGGCTTCGTACAGATCCGGTTCCAAACGGATGTCCTCTGTCTGCATGAGAAAGAGTCCGTGTGGGAGAGAAATGAGAGGATTTTAAGCTGGAGATGTCAGTTTTTTTTTAAGGTTTACTTTTATTATTTTAGGTGCCAAGAACTGACCTCAGGTCAGTTTGTAAGAGTAGCAAGTGCTCTTAACCATTAAGCCATCTCTCTAGCCCCATGGAGATGTCAAATTTTTAGAGACTTGTTTGTTGACGAATGGCTTTTTTAGGTGACTGCGCACTAAGTGTCACATGGTAAAACTTCACTTGTGACTCTGTCTCATGCTTTACAACGGTGGCTGAAGTTGTTCCCTTCCCCCCCACCCCATCCTCAGTTGTTTCAGATGGGCCACTTGTACAGCAGCCACAGCCCCCAAGCTGACACACTGAGATTTAAGGGAGAGGAGGTGGAGTTCCCTTTTCTTCCTTTCTTGCTGGAGATGAAAAGTGAAGTTGTGGTTGCGATGCAGCCACCCTGCGGCCAGAGGACCAGCCTTAGGATGAAGCCAAAGGCAACTGAGTGTACAGGAAAGACCTCTGTCCTTGACGATAGTACTGACTCAGTGACTGCAGGGACTAAACTCTGAGTCTGTCCTAGTTTGGCTTCCAGTGTTGTGTGGTAAGAAATGTTCAATCACTTAAAACCACACTCAAAACAGTAAAGAAGCTAACACATGGGAAGATTTCCAACTGTCCCTACACAATGCTTCCCCGCAGCTGACTAAGCACTACAACTGTGGCTCCTGGAGGCATTACCATCTCCAGCTCCTCCACACGAAGCTGCTTGCGGCATTTGAGCGACACCCGGTGCTCCTTGGCTTCCTGCAGAGTGTCGTTGCGCACAGTGGTGCTCAGACAGATCACTACATCCACCCTGCCATGGAAGGAGAAGTGTTAAACCACCTGCAGTGGGGTGAACGCCCAAGTACTAGGCTGAAACAGGGGCAGGGGCCACACTATTTGCTCAGAGTTCATTCATAAACAGATAGCTGTGATTTTAAATGTCTTTTTTTGGTAAGTTTTGCTGTTGTTGTTTTAAATAATTCATCTGTTCCCCTTATTAACAATGGCTCAAAAAGACCAGACCCTGGATATGGCAAATAAACACTCATGTCCTTTAATTGAAAAGGTGAAGTTTCAAATTTGTAAGAGAAAAAAGTATGCCAAGATTCTTATGGATATAGCTATAGATATTATATCTACAGTCATATAACTTTTTTTTTTGAGACAGGGTTACTTTGTATAGCCTTAGCTGTCCTGGAATACACTATGTAGACCAGGTTGGCCTTGAGCCAACTGCCACTTCTGTCTGAGTGCTGGGATTAAAGGCATATGCCATTACCTCCCAGCTCTATATTCATAGAGTATATTGTTTTAATTTGTTCTTAAAATAAAAACAACAATAATAACAATCAGGGTCTCACAATATATGCCAGAATGGCCTGGACCTCATTGTCTTCTTATTTCGTCTCCTGAGTTGATATTAGAGACGTGTGCCACCCCAACTGCCCATATAATTAGTACCTATTTTCCTACTGTAGCTAATTTATCTAAGTTAACTTTGCCATAGGTATGTGAGTATAGGGAAGGTTTGTACAGTGGTTGGTACTATCCGTAGTCTAAGCCTCACTGTGGCTTTAGAACATGGCCCCACTGCATCTTCAGAAGTCAGTAGCCTGAATGATGATTATAGTTCTCTGACTGGAACAGAGGCCGCACAGAGCATATGTGATAGGACAATTCAATACTTGTTTATTAAGGGCAATGTGACCATAGCAAGAATGGTGCTCTTAACATTCACACCCTGTGAAAGGTTCATTAAAGTTACAGGAGAAAAAAAACCTGTCCAAAATGGGAACCTGGTCACAAAAGGGAAAATATGTCCTAGTAACATGGTTTTCCTCCCCTCAGAACTTGTAAGATTGGGGCAGCCGTACTGTCAAAGCTTATCAGTTTCCTCATGAAGACCTAGTGCCCAAGCGAGTCAAGCTCCACCTCCCCCCCAGAGCTCTACATCATTGAGGCCTGTGCTGCTTCTCTGCAGAAATGACACACTGTGGTGATGCTGGGAAAAGGCTGTTCCAGTTATCTCCTTTTCTGAGTGCTCCCTACACCTGACTCAGACAGATGGTCTGAGCCTAGAGAAAAAAAAAATCAAGAGTATTCCCATACTCCAGGAGCTTTTCTTTTGAGAATACCTATGGCCATGGACAAGTGTGGCTGTCAGCAGCTGTGGCCATGGTCTTGCAGACAATGCCAGTTTTATTAGACCACCAAATAGAGACACAGGAGGCCTCTGGGCCTCATACCCTACACACTCACTCAGTAGCTCAGGGAGGCTTGGGAAGCAGAACAAATCAAATCAGAGATACATACTTCTTTTTTATGTTGGGGCAAAGTTTTAACACATCCTCCTTGCAGGCCATTTTGAACTTGTAAGAGAATCGAAAATCCTTCATCTGTACCTGAAAGATGAGAAAGAAAACCAGCTCTGTTGCAAGTTACAATTAAGAACAATGAGTGACATTTCAGCCAAACAACAATCACTGAGGATGCAACTGGCTAGCATACATGAAACTGGCACTACAAAAAATACATGCCCTGGACACCAGCACCTGGGAGACAGACACAGCACAGGAAAATTAGAGGTTCAATGTCATCCTTGGTTATATAGCAAGTTTGAGGCCAGCCTGGTCATAGATCTTTCATAGTCTGCTGAGATCTCATGTCTCCCCTGTGACAGCACACTGGTCCTCCTTCCACATCTGAGCTCACCATGTCGACAGTGTTCCTCTGGCACAAACATAATTTATGCTGCTATCCCCTGAGGGTTCTGTCTTAGTGTGTTCTCTTGCAGTCCCTTCATTCCACAACCTCTGTTCTGGCTTTGATTTTCTTCCTTAAACCAGAGCTGATCATGCAGCTGTGACATATACTATACCTGCTCTGGCATCTTTTACTAGAGTCTACATGCCAGCAGGGCAAGAGTCCATTAACATAATGGAATGCAAGCATAGGGCCTACTGGCTCTGAAAAACAGTTAATAACCTCAGCTGACTGACAAGTCATCCTCTCTGAACAAAGTGCTTGCTATACCCAACTTCCTTAGCTTCTTCTTATTACCGAGAGTGTAGCCCAACCATATTGTTCAAATGGTAAGTCAAGTTGAATGATTTAAAAAGAAGAAAAAAAAAGCAGATGTGCTGTGTCGGGATTTAGTGTAGTGGAAAACTGCTTTGTAAGGTGAGGCCCTGGGTTTAATCCTCAGTACACAGTGGGAGGGAGGGAGGGAGGGAGGGAGGGAGGGAGGGAGAGAGAGGGAGAGAGAGAGAGAGAGAGAGAGAGAGAGAGAGAGAGAGGAGAGAGAGAGAACAGAGTAGGAGCAGAAGAGAGGCACCAGGGTCCAGGCACTGACGCACACCCCCCACACAGCACTACAGATGCCCGCGATATAGTACCACTTAACGTGAGCATTACAGGCAGAGCAGGAGCTGCTGTCCCTCTGTCCCTCTGTCCCTCTGTCTCTATCCCTCCTGTAATGAATGTTTCCTAGGGTCAGGCCTCATTTCACTACATTTCACTATATGCTAATCTGTTGAGAAAAGTCCCATTTACTGAGAAGTTCGGGAAGAGGAGAGCTGCGTGGCTGCTGTAAGGCAGGAGACGGGTATCCCGCGGTTGCCACAGCAGCCGAGACAGGAAGGGCACTGACCAGCTGGAAGTGAGTGACGCCAATAGCACACTTCTCATTCATGTCCTTCTGGTGCTTGTTCTGGATCAGACACTCCATCAGGTCCCCAGAGTCGATCTGGTTGTCTGCCACATCCTGGGGAAGAGAGCACACATGTACACTTTACATGTCGCAATTAACAATACAATCTATAGTGCCATCCATGAAAATGTGAATAGGAGTGACCCTCAAAGTCTTCAAAATCAAGATACGTCATAATTTTTTTAAAACCAAACCTGTGAAATCAGGAAAGAGTGCAATTCAGCAGAATAAAATTCATGAAGCAAGAATACCCTCGGTGAGAGCTATCTCGCTATTTCCTTGTATAATGCCAGCAGCGGTTTCAGGGATGATCCCTATCTGTCAGATCTTAAAGGTTACTAAATGTACTTCCCTCCTACAATCTAGGAAAGGGTGAGTAAGAAACAAGTGAGGGAGTCCCTCAGCTCCAAGGTATAATGGACACAGTTAGTAGTTACTCCCAGTGCTAATAGTTCCTGAGAAGCAACTCAGCCACACCCTGGAGTTTCCCTCTTGTATCTTTTCTCATAAAGTCACCTCATCCACTGCTGCTAGCCACACATTGCTCCAGTACAGAGTGCTACCAACTGCTGGAATTAAGTTCTAAAATCAAACAGGGTTCCTGGATGTTGGCCTCTCCCTTGATTTTGTTTACAGTTCCGAATTTTACTTGCTAAAGCTGGTTATACATTCAACAGCAAAGTATGCTGAAGACAGAGATGAACCCACACCCTTGGGGCCCAAAGTCCCATTAAATTAGATTCTGTTAGCAACCCTTGTTGCTACAGACATCACTTACATGGCAAAAGTTCTGAATTATAGGCTCACAGGCTCTCATCAGCAAAGCTTCTATTTGTATATCCTGTAGAAGATAAAATAGATCAATTATTCTGCTATACAAAGGCCAGGGATGAGGAGGCTATAGGTGTCTCTGTGTGTATCCCTGTCTTAACTATGTAGCTGCAGTTAGAACTCAGAGATCCACTCGCCTCTGCCTGAGTGCTGGCATGAAAGTGCCTGGCAGGCAGATTCTTCATCACCTTGAACAACTGAAGAGGCAGAATTAAGAACGGGGAGATGAAATACTTGGCAATAATATTAGAGCATGCAAGTTCTCTAGAGTTTTTATGATCTCTCTATTTCTGAACAGTACTGTCTATACTTATTAGGCCTTTTAATCTCATGTTTTATATTTTAGTAGGTTTCAGGGTATAAGAGGGATAAACATGTGTTTAATCTTTCATGTATAACTGGAAGTCCCAAGACTTTATTAAGCATAGAAATAGTACCAAATGACCCCACTAAAATAGCCTCAGATTAAAGAGACTATGGCTGCTTAGATTGCTTTTAAATGTGATTCAGACCTGAAGTGCAGGAGCTATCTTTTCTCAAGTGAGAAAGCTCTAATACATGATAACTTTGAAGAAAAAGACCAAAGAGCTAACTTCTGTATGGCTGTGATAGAGGGGTCAGGCCTCAGCACAACGGATGACTACTTTCTTCTTCTCCTTCACATCCCTTTTGTTTCTTTTGTCGTTTTTGTTTGTTTGTTTTGTTTTGACAAAATTTCTCTGTAACAATCCTGGCTGTCCTAGAACTTGCTCTGTAGACAAGGCTGCCCTCAAACTCAGAAATCCACCTGCATCTGCTTCCCAAGGGCTGGGATTAAACTGACAAGAAAATGTTCTCTCATTTTGTTCTCATGGGAACAAAAGTGCTAAGTAATGCAGGCAGCCCCTCTTCTCTAGGGAGCTGCTCACTACTTACCTCAGACTCTAACTCGGTGAGGTTGCCCACGATGTCTCTGCATTCCACAGCTAAGTCATCCAGATGGTCCTGAAGGCACTCAAGCTCCTGAACATAAAAGGCAAGCCCTTCAGTCACGAAAGTCAACAGGGGAAGTGGGACTCTCTGCTTCCTTTGTACTCATCTTCCCTTTAAAACTCCCTCAGTAAACTGAACACAAAGGCTTCATATGACTGTAAAATTAAGGTGTAACATGTTCCTTGATGTAACCTAGGGGTTGAGGGCCAAGTGGTACAATAAGTCATGCAAATTCAGAAAGCCCAATGGGAATTATTCAGCTATCTTCAAACTATAAATCCCAGCCTATAAACTTTAGCAGGCTATTTTTTAAAAAATTACGTGTAAGAATGTTTTGCCTGCACATATGTCTATGTGCCACGTGTACACAAGTGATAAAAATGATACTCAACAGCCAATACCCTTGGTAAGTAATTATGGTGCTTCTTTAAAATGTCCAACTCCAACGCAACAATTTCTTGGTATCTCTGTGTGTGACTCAGTAATTAGTGTTGTTTATAGAGGCTTAGGTACAGGCTTATTTATAGAAGCATGGTCTATACTACTTGCAAGGTCCTGGAGTGGCCAGGCCCAGCTCCTGAGGACAGCCAATTGCCAGGCCTCATCCTCTCAGAATACAGCCAAGCCCAAAATCAGGAAACAAAATGGTACCAATCCCAGGCCACCCTAGAAAGCTCTACCCTCAAGAATCCTTATAGAAAGCCCGTCTCCAGCTCAGGTCTTTGTTGCTTCTCTCCCTAGTACAGGCAGCCACCGTCCTATATTTTTCCCTATATAACCTGTGTGAGATTTGTTGTGTGGTGTAATTTTGTGGTATTCCCTGGAGCTTGACTGCTAGGATACCTTAACACTAGTGAATAAAATTTCACAGCTGGATGCAGTGGCACACACTTTTAATCTCAGCACTCAGATAAGCAGAGGCAGAAAAATTTTCTTCATGGTCATCTACTGACTATAATCTTCAGGGAAGGGTAGGGTCTTGTGTCCTTTCCCCACTACATGCATGTGTAGGTATAACATACATGTAGAGGTGTGTGTGCACAACATGCACACGGAGACCAGATGTCAACTTTGGGTGTTGTTCCTTAGTAACTGTCCAACCTGTTTGTGAGAGCAGGTTTCTCACTGGGATGTGGGGGATTGCCAATTTGGTTAGGTTGGTTTCACAGTGAGCTCCAGGGACCTGCCTGTTTCTCTTTCCCAGGTGCTGCTGTTATAAGAAAGAGCCCCCTCACCCTGCTTTCTCTTGAGCGCTGAGTATCAAACCTATGTTTGTACAATAAGCACTTTACCAATCTGGCTGTCTGTCTAGTCCCTGTTGTGTGAAACAACATTTCATGAAGCCCAGCTGGCTCCAAATTCTCTATGTAGCCGAGGACTATCTCTTCCTGTTTTTGTTTTTTGAGACAGGATCTAACTGCCTAATGTAGAGCAGGCTGTCCTCAAACTCAAAGATCTGCCTGCCTCTCTTCCTGAGTGCTGAGATTAAAGGTGTGAACCATGCCTGGCTGTCAAAGCTATCTTTGAACTGATCCTCCTGCATCCAATTCCCCAGCGCTCTGAGACTTAATAATCTCATGTGCTACCATGTCTAGCTATATGTGACTTTGAAAATTCCAGAAGGGGTCTGTCACGGTATAAATGGAAGCCCAGAGGCCTAAGTTCAGTCCCGATTCTAATGTTAGGGTCTTTCTAGCAAGTACCTGCTCTTCACTGATTACCTTGCTTCATGAGGAAGACTACTGCCTTGTTCATAACTTCCAGTAACACTTAACCCCAAACCAAACACACAGCCTTAGAGACCAATCACAGAAGGCACATAAGTATTGAGGCTACTCTTTTCTGGTTTATTCTTTGTGGAAAGGTTATAATGAAATAAATTCTTACTTAGAATTAGTTTTGAGTTTTTAATAAGGAAGTTTTCTTCTCTGAGTCTCAATTTGATCAACTAAGTAGAAAAATACCTCCATTTCCATGTATCTTGTAGGCTGTTTTAGGGCAAGCACATTATCTACTGGTATATATCAGACACATACGAATACTTATACCTGCTATTACAAAAGGATTTAATGTAACCTATACCTGTTAGAAAATGAATTAAAAAAATAAAAAATAATGAATTAAAACTGAGTCACAATGAGGAAAGGGAGATATGCTAAGGAAGATGGGATGTCCAGCACCAACACTGCCTACCACAACATCTGACATTTCCGCCAGAGCAGGACATGTTTTGGTTCTAAGATTTCTTCCATTTTAAAAATTTTTAGATTTTAGTTTAAATATGTAAGTGTTTTTTCTGAATGTCATGTATTTGCAACATGTGCATTTCTAGGCCTGCAAAAGTCAGAAGAAAGGAATCAGGACCCCTGGAACTGGAGTTACAGATAGTTGTGAGCCAGCATGTAGGTGCTGGGAACTGAACTGGGTCCTTTTCAAGAGCAAAAAGTGCTCTTAACCTCTGAGTCATCGTCTTAGACTCTTTCGCTCTAAGCTTTAAATAAAGAGGTAAAATAATCAACTGTAAATATCCAGAAACCATAACATTAAAACATATGAAAATTGTTTATTGTCTGGCATGTTCTTTGATTATCTGGGTTTCTTGTCTTCCTTGTTCCTGGACTATCTGCATCTATTGTATTGCTAGTTCCTCAACCTAGGACTGACCTTAATACTTGCATGTAATTTAAACAGTATAAAGGCAAAAAAGGAGAAGGAGGGATGGGATCAGGGATTAATGGGTGGGGGGAATGGGGAAGGGGGATGGCATCTGAAATGTAAATAAATAAAATATTGAATTAAAAAAACATATGAAAAAATGTAGTTATTCTTAGATATAAAAACAAAAAACTCTGGTGGGTTTCTTCTGGAAAGAACACTAAAGATATAACAAATCCCACCAGCAAGCACTGTGCTGGCCGTCATGGGGACTTTAGGAAAAGCAGGTGGAAGCCATTACCGACCTGGCCAGTCTCTGTCTTCTCACTGCACCACTTCCCGAGGTCTATCAGGCACTTGTCCTGGAGGGAAGGGTCCAGCTTAACATCCATGGCACGCTGGTGCAGGATCCTCTGGACTTCAGCTCGGCATTCTCGTGAGAGCTACAGAGAGAGAATGAGCAAGAGACTTTAAAGGTAACAGAAATAAATACATGAAGCTCCTAGGCAGAGAAAACTAATAAATAACCAGGCTTGTAGTTTACCCCTTAAACTTTGACCAAACCAAATGATATCTTCTAGGACAGAAACTAAATGCATTAGGAAGCTGCTAGAATAGAAACTCTACTCTACAAGAAGTTTGTTCTAAGTCAGCATTTTCACTAACCATTCAAACAAAGGTGTCCTTTTTTGAAAATATCCTGAAAACAAGTGAACTAGATCTGTTCAAAGTAGGGTTTTGTTTAAGCAACCTAGGTTCTCTATGAGTATGGATAAAACATTAGATCTGACTCAGGCAAGATTTACACATCCATGCTGCGTGCAGGAAACAACAGATGATGAGTTATTACATACAGTTGGGGCTGTGTATAATACAGGTGAATTACATGGAATGAGCAGAGGGTGAGTCAGGTGAAAACTGATCTCTTGGAAGCTCATAGAAAAGGTGTTACAGTACAGCCAGCTTCTCATTCTAAAACACACCTACCTGAGGTAGAGTCATAGACATAATTCATTAATAAGTATGGGGCTTCATTTTACTTTTTTTAACTATATCCATTTATTTCTTACTTATCTGTGACTGTGAGTATAGTAGCTGTACAAGTGTGTGTGGACAACAGAGGACAACTTTCAGATGTCAAGCACATTACCCACTGAATCCGGCCCAACGAGTTCCCTTTCAGAGTCACAGAATATTTTGACAGTATTTGTACAACACTGTGAATGTATAAATGTCATTGAATTTTTTCCTTAAAAAGATTAATTTTATGCTCTGTGAATTTTAGTTCAATTCTTTAAAACGTATTTGTTTTATATATAGCTAGCAAAAAGGGTGTGGAGAGATGGCTTAGTGGGTAAAGGTGACCTCTACTGAGCTCAGTGATCCCTGGAACTTACATGATGGAAGAAGAAACAAACTTCTCCAAGTTTCTTCTGGCTTCTAAATGCATACTATGACGTGTGTGTGTGTGTGTGTGTGTGTGTGTGTGTGTGTGTGTATACACAAAATAATAATGCAATAAAAAAAATTTAGTAGTTAAGAGTATTAACTACCCTTGCAGAGGTCCTGAGCTCAATTCCCAGCAACCACATGGTGGCTCACAACCATCTGTAATGGGTTCTGATGCCCTCTTCTGGTGTGTGTCTGAAGACAGCTATTGTGTACTAACATACATAAAATGAATCTCAAAAATAATAATAAGGCTGGGCAGTTGTGGGGCATGCCTTTAGTCCCAGCACTTGGGAGGCAGAGGCAGGCGGATTTCTGAGTTTGAGGCCAGCCTGGTCTACAGAGTGAGTTCCAGGACAGCCAGGGCTATAAAGAGAAACCCTGTCTCGAAAAACAAAAACAAAACAAAAAAACAAATAATAATAATAATGATAATAATAATAATAAAATTCTGAAAAGTTAGCATAAGGGATTTGATTCTTTCTTTCCAAGGGAAAGAACTTCCTACAAGAGATACTAGGATATAGGAGCATTTGGTATGACAGAATAAAAACTGAGCTGGGCAGTTCGAGCTCACACCTTTATTCCTAGCACTTGGAAGGCAAAAGCATGTGGATCTCTGTGAGCTGAGGGCTAGCCTAGTCTGCAAAGCTAGTTCCTGGACATCCAGGGCTAAAGACAGAAATCCTGTTTCAAGAAACACACATAAACACACATAAACACACACACACACACACACATAAACACACACACACACACACAGAGAGAGAGAGAGAGAGAGAGAGAGAGAGAGAGAGAGAGAGAGAGAGAGAGAGAAAGAATAAAAATATAAGAATTTGGTAGTCAGGCTTTTAGCTATCTATTATAGTATATTTTCTAATTGTACCTCCTGAATCTGAATCCTAGACACTTAGACTAGGATCAGAAGAGATATCTGTATTCAGGTATATAGAACATGGCTACATCTGTAACATATGCAGAAATAAAATTCAGTAAGATTTCGAAATGAGTCAGGCAGTGGCGGCGCATGCCTTTAATCCCAGCACTTAGGAGGCAGAGGCAGGCGGATTTCTGAGTTCGAGGCCAGCCTGGTCTACAGAGTGAGTTCCAAGACAGCCCGGGCTATACAGAGAAACCCTGTCTTGAAAAACAAAAAAACAAACACACACACACACACACACACAAAGATTTCAAAATGAGACATAGCAGCATGTCTAGGTGGCACCAGAAGACAAAATGTTCACACAAATATCTTAAAGGGTAGCAACTGGGGCAAGGAGATGCCAAGAAGCTTCTACTCCAACTAGTCCATTGCCAGAGAAGTCTCATCAATATAAAGCATTTGTGTTTTGCTGCCAAAGGTGTAGAAGCCTAAAGAACCATTTGTATCCAAGCTAAAAGCTTCTAATGGATCTTTAAAGCTAAATAAAGTTAGAACAGCAGAATTTAATTGTCCATTTGTAATTTGGATTTTGAAAATTTAAAGAGAAAGCCCAGGACTGTTTCCCCACATCCTTCGTTTAGAGCAAAACCAAACCAACACACAGGAGAGAAGCTGGTGGCACAGCTATACTGGCAGGGATCTCACCGAAGGACTGCATTTCTAGTAGGAGAGCATCCTCCCATCCTACCACATATACCTGCAAGGCCTCCTTGTGATGACAGAAACCAGAACAGGTAGGAAACTAATGATAGTGGGAAGAACCAAGGGTGATGGCATACCCTCCTTCCTTGCTCTTCTGTGCGGTAGGCATGTCTGTACAGGCAAGAAAATACAGCTCCAGGAGGCATAAGTTCACTGGTCTCATTCCAACCATGGGTATGGCAAAGGCGGGAAGCATCTCCCTGGCATTTTCGGTATAAAACAGGGTCCAACCTAGAAGGTTAAGAGTTAAAAGAGAAGCACGACTTTCCGTGTTTTCCTTCTCATACATTCTAAGGGTTTTTGCTGGCTTCCCCGACCCTCCTTTCAGACAAGGTCCTATATGATTCAGGCTGGCTTTAAAGCTGCTCTGTAGCTAAGGATGAGCTCTTGGTCCTCCTGTCTTCACTTCCTAAACTGAGATTACAGGCATAAGCAGGCACACCTCACTCTGAATGCTGCTCATGACACAATAGTCAATGTATAGAAATCTTCATAAAGAAAATGGACTCTTCCTCAAAGACCCTAAGGTACCCACTGTTACTGTAAGACTTAGCAGGCCCAGACAGCAGACAGTAAAACTAGGTTTGCTGCTAGCCCAGGAAATTCACACTGCAATGCAACTCTATCTGATATACCAGCTTCAACAAGATCAGAAATGATAGGAACGCCTCCTACTCACGACACTCTCAACAACAAAACCAATCTTTCAATCTTCTTAAGGAAGATAAAGTGGTGGTTTCTTCAATTAACCTGAAAATTGCTTATGAAGTTATAAAACATTTAATTCTGAATCATCTGAGGACATGATCATGTATTGAACCTGCTTGTTTTCTCTAAATCACACTAAGGAACACCTGATTCTGTTCACATTTTATTACAAACTGTAGGGGGAACTATTTTTTTTTTTTACTTTTCAGCACATCTTTATTAAGTAAGCACTATGTCACAGTGCTGGGAGTGCTGGTTTGCAACAAGTGAGATTTTCCTAGGGCTCCACAGGGGGAACTATTTAATGGAAGGAGAGAAGCTAACATTAAGCTTTTATGAGATTATGAAGTGCGTTTTTGATCACATGAGAAAGAGTAAGGGAGGAGGAGAAATCAGTCTTGACTAGGAAGAAGTGTAGTAAACTCAAGTTATTCCAGTTCAGATAGCTTGAGGAAGCTCAGGAAAGCAATCATCCAGTTTCCTTTGATTCCTTTCCATACCCATTTATTTGTTTGAAACAGGGTCTTGCTATGTAGTCATGGGCTGTCTTGAACTTGCAATACTCTTACTTCAGCCCTCAATATACAGATATGCACTCATATGCCATAATGCCTTCCAGACTAATCTATAAAAACACATGAAACCTCAAGTAACCTTTTTCCACTGACACGTCAATAAAATAGAAATTAATCATCACAAAAGAGTAAAGACTATAGTATATTGACTTAAACTAGTTAACAGGAAGCAGCTTATGGGAAGTAGAAAAACAGTGGAGCCCAGTGTTGGCAGCACTGGATATGGAAAAGAGAACTGAGTCCAGAAGAGGAGGTATCACTCCAATAAAAACAGTGATTCTGACTGTCAGAGCACACTCCTAGTTCCTTTCTTTTTATTTTGCTAACAGGGTAAGACAAATTGTCATATGTAATGTCATCATTTTAGAGTCAGAGTTGAAGATTCTCTTGCTGTCTATAGAAGTACCATGGCTCTGTCAACAGATATTTGTGTTATAAGAAACTGTTTTGAGTTCAACTTCCAAAGTAGTGATGAACAGGGATGCTTGGTACAAGCTGGAAGTGGGTTGACTCTGCTTTTAGATACTGCTCTAGAAGCAGTAAGAATAGGTTTTCTGGAGGTTGGACATAGTTAGCTACTCATGAATTTGGAAAGAATTTGTTAATTTGTTACTTATTATTATAAACTATAGAAGTGGGGTATGGGGACAAAGCTTAGTAAAGGAGTGTATTCTCTACAAGTATGAAGCCCTGGGTTTAAAAACTTGTGTGGACTGGTGAGATGGTTCGGTGGATAAAGCACTTTATGGTTTAAGCCTGGTGATACTAGTTTTATTCTCAGAACCTATTTAAGAGTGGAGGGAAGAGAACAGACTTCACAAAGTTGTCCTCTGACTCCCAACTGCTCACTGTGGCAAACAGACACATATAATACATATGTACACACTGATAAACTATTAAATTCTTGCCCATACACACACCCATTCTTCTGATATTGACTACACAAGGGAACAGAATGAGGCAGTGCCTTCCACTGGTTTTAAAATACTCACTTCCAATCCCGAGAGATGAAATACTGTAGCTCTAAGAGACGGTGTTCACAGTCTTCCACCATTTTCTCTGTGTATAAATGTTCCATCAGACATGAGAGAATCCTGGTCATTAAAGAGGTAAATTGTAATAAAGAAGTGTTTTGGCCACAGGCTTTAGAACTCATTTCAATACGCATTCCCCAGGGTGATAGGATTTATTTTTCTGAGAATCACACAAATTAACTGATCTTGTCAGTAACTATTTCTCCTAACAGTTTTAAGTCATTTTGGACTTCAAACTCTGCACACATAAGATCTGTGTAGCAGCTTTATTTTTATTTAGTATGAAAACATTCCAACATATACAAGAGTAGAGAATAGTGTACTGGCCACTTCTGTTCTCCAGAGCTATCGTGAACCCATAACTAAATGTTTTGGTTTTTTTTGTAAAGATTTATTTATTTATATGAGTACACTGTAGCTATCTTTAGACAAAACAGAAGAGGGCATCAGATGGTTGTGAGCCACCATGTGGTTGCTGGAAATTGAACTCAGGACCTCTGGAAGAGCAGACAGTCCTCTTAACCACTGAGCAATCTCTCCAGCCCCTACTAAATGTGTTTTAACTCAGAGTCTTTTGCTGATATTTGAAACAAACCTCAGTAAATACTTCAGCCTATTTCTCTAAAACTTGAGATCATTGTCATATCAAAAGTAACAATAAAAAGGGAAATACATCATATAAAATAAAAACCTAGGCCAGGTAGTAGTGATACATGCTTTTAATCCTAGTACTTGGGAAACAGAGGTAGGAGGATCTCCATCCAAGTTTAAGGCCAGCCTGGTCTATAGAGTGAGTTTCAGGATAGCCAGGGCTACACAGAGAAACTCTGTCTTGAAAAACAAACAAACAAACAAACAAACATAATCTTGTTGTCCTCACATCGTGAATTTTTTCAACTATCTTATGTCTTGTTCAAATCAAGACTCAACAAAGAGCTATACACATTGTATTTAATCAAAGCTGGCAGAGATGGAGAGATGTGTTAGTGTTTAAGAACACTGACTGTTCTTCAACAGGATTCAGTTCAATTCCCAGCACCCCCTTTACTGTTCTGGTTCCAGAAAATCTGACACCCTTTTCTGGCTACCGTGTGTCACCAGGCAAGTAAGCAGTACATAGACACACATGCAGGGAAAATACCCAAACATGTAAAATGAATCTCCTTCTCTTCCCCTATCCCTCTTCTGGTTGCCATGGTTATACTATAAACATTCTGTCTATGCTCATCTACCTCCTTTACCAACATAAAAACCTTAAGCTGCCAGGCGTAGTGATGCACACCTTTTATCTCATCACTTGGGAGGCAGAGGCAGGCAGGTCTTTGAGTTCGAGGCCAGCCTGGTCTACAAAGTGAGTTCCAAGACAGCCAGGGCTACACAGAGAAATGTGTCTCGGAAAACAAACAAACAAACAAACAAACAAAAATGAGAAAGACAGAGTGCCAAGTGTCACTTTATCCTGATACTCTGAGAGTCTCTGCATTAGAGGAGGTTACTCAATGACTAATAGAGAGGTCCACATATGCCCAGTCACTGTCAACAAACACCATCACTGTTCTGGGTTTTGGCCTCTCTATATCATGGGTAAGGCAGGTCAGAAGTCTCAATCTCAATATTAGTTTTAGCCAAAGTTTTATGTGTACCCATGATCAACAAAATTTTAGTCAAGATGTTAAACTACTCAAAAGCCATTCGAGGGCATGCTCTCTGTGTTGGCAAATAAAATACAATGTGGGTAGTGAACCTACATCGGGTCTCCAGACCGTACGTG